ATATTGCATCATTACCCGCGTCAAACTACAGACCGCCACCTGTAAGTACAATATTGCATCATTACCCCGTCAAACTACAGACTGCCACCTGCAAGTACAATAGTGCATCATTGCCCCGTCAAACTACAGACTGCCACCTGCAAGCACAATATTGCATCATTGCCCCGTCAAACTACAGACTGCCACCTGCAAGCACAATATTGCATCAATAGCCACGTCAAACTAAGCTAAATTTCACTAAAGACTTTTACCTTTTACGTTTTCAATAATAACTCCTCTTAGAGCTAACTCTTCAGAAGAACAATATATTTTGAATTTCTAATATGAAACCATATAATTTAGATCCTCTAGTTTTGAAGAATCAAAAGAGGAACCTTGGTAATGTGAAGCCAAACATTGCGGAAGCAGGTATTGCCTTAGATTTCGTTTTCAGATTATAACTTAACTGTTAATGTGTACAGTGTATTTATAATAATCAAATTAAAAAAGATAAACTTATATTTATCTTGTCTTATACAATACATTCAGATATATTCAGATTACAAAAAATCATTATTTATCAAACATCATATTTATGACATATTTTTTGTTACTTGATACCTACATATTAGTTTAACAGCTTTAATACACAAAACAAAATAAAAAATATAAAAAGTTTATATATTTTAAATGTAGATATTTATAACTTGCAAACTTTTAATTCTTTATGTCAACAAATTTGGAAACTAGCATAAATATAATTATTATCAAACTTATATTTAAATGTATTAGTTAAAATAATATTATAATAACAAAGATAATAATAATAACAATAATAGTAATAATAGTAATGATTTTAATAACAAAGATAATAATAATAACAATAATAGTAATAATATATGTAATGCAAACCAATAATAACAGAAAAAAGGAATCTTGCGAAATTTGAAGGATTATATTAGTGTATGGAGGATGACGGAAATGGAATTATAGAATTGGAATAATTACAGCGCTGAGCTCCACCACAATAATTTATTATTTCCTCCAAAACTTGTTTTTGTCCCCCTCAATCGAGTGAAAAAGCGCAATGTTTGCCGCAAAAACACCGTGAGCCAATATTCGTTGTAATGAATATGGTTTGGTTTGGTCTTAACGTATTTTTTCCTTGGTTCGTGGAGTTCGGTGGATAATTTATTTATTTCTAAAATCGCGAAACCTTGATTCAAATAAAATCGCGAAACCTCGATTATTAATTCTCTCACATTGTATTGTAGTTTTTATTTTGTATACGTTTTCTTCCGCTTTTCCCAACTTTTTAGTTCTTATGTTTCTTTTTCTCGACTTAAAAAGTTCAAGATAACGTTTGAATTGTGAAAAATAAAATTATTTTTATTATTCGGTTTCCCTTTTGGAATTATAGAACACCAAAATAAAACCAAAATTTTCTCTTGAACATTCATCAAATTTCTAAGTGGGGGTGGAGAATTTTCTCCAACCATCTTAAGCTGCTATTTGTCTGTTTATCCTACTGTATGTCTGTGTATACCACTGTATGTCTGTGTATGCTACTGTATGTTTGTGTATATTACTGTATGTTTGTGTATGCTACTGTATGTCTGTGTATACTACTGTATGTCTGTGTATGCTACTGTATGTTTGTGTATGCCATTGTATGTTTGTGTATACTACTGTATGTCTGTGTACACTACTGTATGTCTGTGTATACTACTGTATGTTTGTGTATGCTACTGTATGTTTGTGTATATTACTGTATGTTTTTGTATGCTACTGTATGTCTGTATATACTACTGTATGTCTGTGTATGCTACTGTATGTTTGTGTATACTACTGTATGTTTGTGTATACTACTGTATGTCTGTGTATGCTACTGTATGTTTGTGTATATTACTGTATGTTTTTGTATGCTACTGTATGTCTGTATATACTGTATGTCTGTGTATGCTACTGTATGTTTGTGTATACTACTGTATGTTTGTGTATACTACTGTATGTCTGTGTATGCTACTGTATGTTTGTGTATGCTACTGTATGTTTGTGTATGCTATTGTATGTTTGTGTATACTACTGTATGTTTGTGTATGCTATTGTATGTTTGTGTATACTACTGTATATATGTCTGTGTATACTACTTTATGTCTGTGTATGCTACTGTATGTTTGTGTATGCTACTGTATGTTTGTGTATACTACTATATGTTTGTGTATACAACTGTATGTTTGTGTATACTACTGTATGTTTGTGTATGCTATTGTATGTTTGTGTATACTACTGTATGTTTTTGTATACTACTGTATGTCTGTGTATTCTACTGTATGTCTGTGTATACTACTTTATGTCTGTGTATACTACTGCATGTCTGTGTATACTACTGTATGTCTGTGTATACTACTGTTTGTGTATGCTACTGTATGTTTGTGTATACTACTGTATGTTTGCGAATACTACTGTATGTCTGTGTATGCCACTGTATGTCTGTGTATGCTACTGTATGTATGTGTATGCTACTGTATGTTTGTGTATGCTACTGTATGTCTGTGTATACTAATGTATGTCTGTGTATAGTATGCATACTACTATATGTTTGTGTATACTACTGTATGTATGTGTATGCTACTGTATGTCTGTGTATACTACTGTATGTTTGTGTATGCTACTGTATGTTTGTGTATACTACTGAATGTTTGTGTATACTACTGTATGTTTGTGTATACTAACTGTATGTCTGTGTATACTATTGTATGTTTGTGTTTACATGCCAGTAGTATCTTCTCTGATGATAATTAGAATTGTTAATTATGAAAAGACACGCAATATCTGTATAATATATATTATATATGCACTCTGCCTTTATACTTTATACAGGGTGTTTCTTCTTCATTAAACATGATAAATGAATTCAGTAAATTGAGTACGCTTCATGCCCCTTTTGTATAAGAGACGGGGAAAATTGAACTTTTTCTTAAAGTACACAATTTTCATTTATTTTTAGCGATTTAAATTTTGTTTGATAAATATTTATATTCGAAATGGCAAATTGACAAAATTGACCCTAAACAGTGTTCAATATTTGAATATAATTGGCCGCTAAATTTTTTATTTTTAATGAGTTTCCAAATTTGTATTTGTTTAAAAAACAAAATTACAAAATTTTACAAACAATTTTTAGAAATGATATAAGTTTTAGCATGAATCTGCAATTTTCATGGATTTCCTGGAAAATTATGATATTATTCTAAATTGGTATTTTCAACACCATTAACTGTGTGGAATTTAGCGAATTTAATTCTATAATGATAAATCATGGTAAATCTGCAAATTGATAATAAACATGCATGGGCCTGTGAAAAATCATTTAGATTGGACACATTTTGAAAGAAAATGAGTTTTTGCCACAAGCTCAAATTTTCTAATCCCTATATCTTTGCAATCTGGAGATGTGAACCTTTCAGACTATAGACTATTTGATCAACGCCATTGGATTGCAAAGATATTGGGATTAGAGTTTGTGGCAAAAACTCAATTTCTTTTATTATAAAAATACTATTAATAATAAATTCAATATTGATATGATCAAATAACCACATAATTGCTCGGCCCAAATATAATGAATAACGAGAAATAGCTGAACTATATTGACAAAGCATCGAGCCACTCTCTTCAAATAAAACTCGCTTCTGAACAGAGATGGTTCAACTATTTCTAGATAGTTTAACTAATTCTGGATATTTATTAAAGGAATTGAGTTTTTGTCAGAAACTTAAATTGTCTAATCATTATTACTTTGTAACCTGAATCTTAAATCTTAAACTAGTTTCTCTTACAAAATTCATAGTTTAAAATATCTTAGGTCTACGACATTGGTTTGCAAAGATATAGAGATTGGAAAATCAAAGTTTTTGGAAAAGACTCTATTCCTTTGGTCCAACACAATGTTAATTAAAGATAAATTGGCGCTGTAAATATGTATATTTTTTTGAAGTAATTGAACAATTGCCTCAAACTGAAATTTTCCTAAATCTTTGCAACCTGTTTGCATAGAAGTAGCATATTTCAAACTTTGACCTTTTGATTTTGCCAAACTTACAGTTAAAAACATCAAAGGCCTTAGATATCAGAGCTGAAAACTTTAGAATTGTGGATATCGAGTTTAATGCTTGATCCTCTCTTTTTCTTAATATCGAGACTAACATAATCTTGTACTTGTATCCTGAAAAGTTTATAAAATTCAACCACTCAGAGTCGCGTATATGAACTTATGAAGCAGAAAAAATTAAAAGTTTTGCTCGCCATTTAAGATTAATATACAGGAATGGGAGGAACTCTCTAATTTAAAAAAACTGGTTTTTGATTTTTCTCTACTATATCCAAGAAAGAATGGTTTAAGAAGAAAATCAAAAGTGTGTCCATTGGATTAAGTAATCGGGATTAAGGATATGTTCTCATTTTCCGCTAAAAGCTTATTTATTTCAAAAATTTAGGGTCAAACTATCAAAAGAATATTTTGGCATTGAAAAAAATATTACAAACAAATAAAAAAAGAGTTTAAATCAAAAAAGTCTTACATTTGTAAATTTTCTAAAGAAAAGATGTTTAATATTTTATTTCAACTTTACACCATCAGGAATATCTATAGACTTTTTAATCGTGGCTCAGGAATCATTAGAAATTATGATTTCTGAGAATATAAGAATGGGATGGGGTTTTTTGCTGGTATTTGCGTGAATAAAGAAGGATTTGAGGTGGGCAGAGACTGTAATCATATCAGGGTTGGATGGGAGAGTAGCGTGTAGTGTTTATGTGAACCCGGAGAAACAAAAACTCTGGATTGATTTCCGTCCTTATACTAATGGGAATACAATTGTCGGAGACATAGCTTTTTACAGGAGCAGGGGGGGGGGGCGATGATAGGGGAAGTTTAGCGCTACACCGAGCGGAGCGTGTACGTACTAAGGTGTGTAGGGGGGGGAGGGGGGTATTGGCGGCGCTAAAATATGGATATACTTGGTTTATGGATTCCTGTCTCCAGTAGTTAGAAATGTCCCAATATGATGACATCGGGGAATGATAGGAAACCGTCAAGGGTAATATTATTTTGTGAAAAATATATAAACCATATATATATATATATATAAACTATATACATTGTGTTCTGGTGTTTTGAAGGACGGTTTATATTATAGTGAGTCAGAAATATAGTTTGAGATTTTAAGAAAAATAAGGACAATAAAATCAAACATAATTGATCAATTTATGAATATTTTGTGAACTTTTTCTTCGACATCTACCAATAATTCCTGACCCCAAGAATGTAAAAATGAATGTACTAAATAAAACGCGTTTTGATTTGACACAGAACAGAATACAGTGTACACTCTACACCGTACACCACATGTATGATGTGAGCAAGAAATTTTAAAGAGTATCGTTAAATGAGTTTACTTTTTGCAGAGTATTCACATTTGTGTAGATTAACGTTAATAAAAAGAATATGAAAATAAAATATATAACTAACAATACAAGATAATATTTTTAACAAAAATATTGAGATATCTACAAAATTGCCTCACACATTTGTGAAACCCGGTTTCCTAAACGATACCCTGTCTTAAGTTTTGGGCTCATGCAGTGATGGTTAGAATTAATCAGAAACTAAGATATATTGTATTCTTCAAGTTCTAATTTTGCTCCTATTTCATCATGCTTCAACTATGATAATGTTATCATTATCATCACAATTATTACTTCATTAAACCCAAAAAAATTGTAATTAAAGTGCTTTGTATTTTCACAATTCATTGTTTTGACACGTGATATGAAATTTTAAAGGAAAACCCAATAATTTCATGATATAATATATATAATATAATATATAATATATAATATATAATATGAAAAATGTACGAGTGGTGTTATTAGGATTACATAGTTTACTTTTTAACTTTTTAATTCATGTGCATAGTGCTTTTTAATTTTTGTGCATACTGCTTTTTGATCAATTTCCAGCATTGAGCGATTTGTTTATTTTATAAAATATTTAACTTTTCAACTCTTTCTTTAAGGATTTCGATAAAATGAATTTGATGTATGTCTGTTTACAATTTACATGCTTGGGGTAAAAAGTGTTTGAAAATAAGACGATTTTTAAAAATTATATGTACACTATGTACACTATGTACACTATGTACACTATGTACACTATGTACACTATGTACACTATGTACACTATGTACACTATGAAGGTTGGGTTCGAACCAGGAACAAAACCGGTACCACTTCCTGAAGAACAGCTGCATTACGATACACAAACAACAACAACAACACAGGTATATAATATCTAATCTTTATGTACAATTGCAGTACAATACACAAACAATATCAACACAGGTAATGAATATGACTAGTCCTGATGTACAACTGCAGTATAATACACAAACAATATCAACACAGGTAATGAATATGACTAGTCCTGATGTACAACTGCAGTACAATACACAAACAATATCAACACAGGTAATGAATATACCTAGTCCTGATGTACAACTGCAGTGCAATACACAAACAATATCAACACATGTATAGAGTATATCTAGTCCTGATGTATAACTGCAGTACAATACACAAAAAAAAACACAGGCATGGAATATATCTTGTCCTGATGTAGAAGTGGAGTACAATACACAAACAACAACAATTTTCACATACATTTCACTAGAAGGGGATAATTTGTTTGGCGTACTCTGCCAATGTAATTGTACTGTACAGCATGCTCTAGCTGGTTAAAAATCGGCCCGGCGCGGTGTCCGGGGTTTACATATATCTAGATCTTAGAAACGGCTGAACCAACTATTATTTTTATAATATCTGAGATAGAAACTAACAAATATTAAAAAAAAAATGTTGTGACAAATTTGTGGAATTCTTAGCTTCCCCATAAACCTTCCGGCCCTGGGTTCATGTCAGGTCCCACACAAAATTTGGGCCAGATCGGTTAAGTCGTTTTGACGTTTAGTGGATTCTAACAAACAAACAGACAGAATAACAAACAAGCAAAGATATATATATAGATAGATAGATAGATTTGAATTTGTTTTGTGAATAGGTTGAGAGAGGAGGAGGAGGAGGGGGACGGGTTGAAGAACCAAGATCTAGACATGAACAGGTTTAACTCCCTTTACAGTACTAGGCTTTCAGGGCGCCCTGCGCAAATCTTCAATTTCAATTGTAAACATTTATTCTTTGTATACTTTGTCAAAAACAAAAATAAGTTTGCGGATTTTGTGAGAGACTAATTTTTGGAAATTTTTTCATTCGAAAATCTTTCCTGGGGTCACGTGAGGTCCCACACAAAATTTGAACTTGATCAGTTCAGCCGTTTTGACGTTTATTGGATACAAACGACAGACAGACAAGCAAAGTTTATATATAGATTGAGAAGACAGGGGGAGGACATCGATTTGATACACCATATCTCTCCTTTTTCTTATAAATCTTATGTTCTTTACTTTAAACCTATGAGTTCTCAAATATAGTTTTAAAACCTTACATACATCTTATTTGATAAATTCAACATCCTTCGTTATATATTAATTCTTTGTTTTAAATAAATGATGTTGAGCTTCCCTAAAGGGACTGTAAGCGTATTTAAAGTGATATTTTTTTTAAAGAGAGACATCCCCGATTTACAACGGTACCCTTTGAACCCTTGACTAATCATCAAGGACATCGAGAACGCAGTGTATACAATCAAAATTCACATTTTGCCAACTTTAGAAAACTAAAAATATAAAAATAGGTTCTAAACAAAGAGTTTCTGTAGATGAATAAGGAAAAGGTTGAAAGGGTACTGTTGTGAATCGGGAATACCCTTCTTTAAATGAAATTACGCTCACAGTCCCTTTAACTTTACTTTTTTCCAGGATAAAAGGAATATTTACAAGCACCCGCTGTTTCCCCTGTTGGCGTTATTGTTTGAAAAGTGCGAGCTAGCGACGCAATCTCCAGACTGCCCTTCAAGCGATTCATTCAACCAGGAACAATCTGCAAACATAGTGTTATAGATAAACATATTGCATTCATCAAAAAAGATTTAGTTCTATTTTTTCTTCTTAATGTAAACCTTTTTATATGTAATATTGCTAAGTTTAACCAGAGGCCGAGATTATAAAGCTTTGTTTTGAGTATCAAGCCTAAACGCTAATGTTCAAAGCTGACCCAACTTTGTGAGTTTTGTCAACTGAAATTTTAACCTTTTGTTCTTCAATAATTGTACAAGTCTTGATAGAAAACGTATTTCAATATAACTTTCAATTTACTATATTTTGGCGTGAGAATAAAACTCAACTCTAAGAATTATTAGCCCCAAAAAAATTAGGACTTCTAGTCTGAATGGCAGCTCACTCATCACTAAAACCCGCTATTTTTTCGGCCAAATTTTTAAGTTATGGCTTCTGGTGATAATTATTCTAATCTGTTTGGCCAATGCAATGCACATATTTCAAAGCAATTGCTAATAATATATTTGTTTAACCTTGGCAAGAAAATTAATGTGTTTTTTTCCAAATTCATTGTTTTTTTGTATTAAGTACGACGTTTTGACAGGATTGTTTGAAAAGGATATTCATACTTTTATCTCTCACCACCAGAGGGACAATAAACCTTTCTTTACTCAAGACGAGGAGGTCAATGACCTGGTCAGTAATTTGTCGTCTTTGATTTAATCATTAAATTGAATAAAATAAACTCTTTTTATCTTTAAACATTTTAGACATCAATTTAATTTGTTTGAATTTGCTCAATATATTGATCTTGAGTAATTTTTGGATATTCTCAAAGATGGAAATATAACTGAAAAAAACAACGACAATATGAATCTATCTAAATTTGTATTGTTTTTGTTTTTTTTTAACCATTTTTTTTACATTTAATATTTTTTATTCAGATGATCCAGGTATATTCCGGTTTTTTGGCCGCTAGGTGTCTCTCCCAATTGAAATCCATCAAATATCAAGAGCACCAAGTGAGACACCTAGCGGCCAAATAATCGTCGTTTAAAGTACAACGTATATAAATTTATAATTTTAATTTCAGATGATCCGTGGTATCCAGGTTCTCCGAATCCATCTGCTAGAACTAGAGAAGGTTCAAGAACTGTGTAAAGATTTCTGTAACAGATATATAACTTGTCTCAAGGGGAAGATGCAGAGTGAAAACTTACTCAGGTAAAAATATTATTGGGACCAAATTTAATGAATTTGAGCTACGTCGCAGGTAACTACCTACTTCTGGTTCAAATTTGAACCACCGAATCAAAGTTAAAGATTAAGGAAGGATTTGAATCGGTAATTCAAATTTGAACCGGCAGTAGGCAGTTCAAATTCATTAAATTTAGTCCTTTGGAACAGTAATGAAAATTATGCATGGAAAGAAATTCGGTCTTCGCCACAAACTCTAATTTTCTAATTATTTGATCCAACAAAATTCATAATTTGAAATATCTTAGGTCTATAACGACATTGGCTTAATAAGATACGGGGGGGTTAGAAAAGCAGAGTTTGTGACAAAGACTCAATTCATTTAGCCCAAGTCGACTTTAGAGTAATTCAAAGTGAATTTTGACAAATTTTTACATAAATTGTTATTTTTATTATCATGTGAGTAACTTCAAAAACGTACTTCAATAAAAGACTAAAAAAACCTCTTTTTCATTCTTATTAACACTTCTATGAAAAAAATGACTTACTTGAAAAGAGTAGTTTGAGTATAGATACGTTTATTCACGCACAGAGTTACTTTATAACAGCCAGGGTTTTACTAGTTTACAAGGTATTTATATGATTGCAACCAGACAGCGGAAGGTATTGCGAATAATATTTTGGCAACAATATTTTGCGTAAGGCTGGGTAGTTTGCGTATACAGTAGATGCGTCATGTTAAAGGTTGGATTTGAAAGATAGAAGATTTGTGAAAATATTGACACAAATTTCCCCCTTCTTTTTGTAAAATAGATTCAGTAAAGATTTGACTTGTTATGTTTACTGAGTAAGAAAAGAAAAAATATGATTTTAATTCAGGATATTAATAACATTCAAACTTTTTTAGAACTGATAACATCCTTTAAGGTTAAGTACATTGTACAAGAAAAAAAATCTTTTTTACGGTCATTTACGCTTAATCTTTATAAACTGGTGACCAACTTTTCTTATTTTTCGGGAAAGGGTTTGTTCTATTGAACTTTTTTTTTTTTTTTTTATTTCAAATCTCTAAACCTTTATAAGTTGGAAAAAATGTTGCCAGCAAAGTAAGAGAAAAAAAAATCAAAGAGAAATAATAAAAAAAACAAAACAAATGAAAATTTAAGTTCCGCTGAAAGGTGCTTACAAATTATTTTATAATAGTTAAGAAAGAATATAAAAGTTGTGTGCTATACAGCTATAGAGAAACCTGACTTTAGGTCAGTGGAAATACATCCTGTTTTCTCTATTCACAACTATATAAGTTGTGTGCTATACAGCTATAGAGAAACCTGACTTTAGGTCAGTGGAAATACATCCTGTTTTCTCTATTCACAACTATATAAGGTTAAAACTGAAGTTGTGTGCTATACAGCTATAGAAAAACCTGACTCTAGGTCAGTGGAAATACATCCTGTTTTTTCTATTCACAACTATATAAGGGTAAAACTTTTCTTCTGTCTTCCTCTTCTAATTCTTGAGTCCAGCAGATTTATTATCAAATCTCATCTAAATCAAAGACTATCATTAGAAAAGATTTTAAAGAATTTTTTTAATAAATTTATTTATTAGTGGTTTATTTATTTTTATTTTTATTGTTTAATTACACAAAGTTTACAGTAAAGTATAGGTGATTTTACATGTATTTTAATTTTGTGAATTCAATGAATTTGCAAGGTAGAAAGGAGTTATTTTGGTTTTGGAATGATTGATATATTTTTATATTTATCATTATTTATTTATTATATTTATAATACTTTACCTGTATACCAATACTTATCTACAGAAGTTTTCATTATAATCAGAGAACCCTAGGTTGAAACAAAGATCCTGGTCTAAAGTTTCTAAAAAGTTAAGGTTAATTTTCTTTGTAAAGAAAATGAGTAAAAGAAATAAATCAAACAGAGATATAAACCCATCATACTCAAAAAAGAAAGAAAAATGGAGAATAAATGTTTACTACTTTATACAACTTAAGATTAACAAAAAAAAAATTTATTACATTTATTACCCAGTTTTATATGTTTTCTTTTTCCTTATCAAAATTATTATTATTTTTGTTTTTTGTGTTTATAAGTGTAAGCCTTTATTGTGATATATATATATATAAAATTCTTATTATTTACAACAAAGATGTCCCAAAAATATGTTTAAAAATATAACTAAATATTACAGATTACATACATTTAAAATTATAGCGAAGAAGTTTGCTGTCTAGACGCACTGTAATATATTCTAGATCTGTTAATTCGTATTGCAGTGTTTTCATTTTGTTTTTTACATTTTTTGACAGCCAGGATTGTTGTAAATAAAATTATTAGACTTGCAAGAATAAAGATTGCAATTCCGGCAATTATATTGTACATGTTTAAAGTCCAAAAATGTTTTTCCATCATCATAAGTTTAGTCAACTTTATTTGTTCTTTTTGATCAAAACCATCAGCATCGTATTCCATGTTGTTAACAAAAAACGTTGTATTCAGATGAAAAGATACTATATAATTAGTCAACAAATCAAGCCTTTCAATAAATAAATCATTTTTTATAACTGTAGGATTCCTTGTAAACAGTAAAGTGTGTGTATCATTAAGGACTAATGGATCATGAAATATCATTGTGCTTTTGACAATTTCACAATCTCGTTCGTATTCAGCACAAGACATTTTTTCTTTTTTGAAGTTACAGTAATATTCATTTTCAACGATATATGTACACCTTCCTGAATCATAGAATCCAGTTTCATTTCCAAATCCATTTTTCGAAAAGTAATAACATCTGTTTTCATCACAAATTGGCAATGGAATTATTAGGTTTTCGTAAAGTAAATCATCATAATAATCCCACTGTAGAAAAAAACTGTTGGGTTGTAAAGCACTAATGCTCAAAGATCTTATGTGTTTATCATCCAAGATGGAGGGTAAGAAAATTGATGATTTTGAATTTGAAAGTAAAGTTTTAATATTTCTGCAGTCAAAAATTGCGTTATTTAAAAGATCAAGTAAATCTTGTTCATTAGACAAAGGTATTTTTTGTTCAGAATTTATCTTGGTAATTGAAGATCCTTGGTTCATGGTTTCAATTTTTATCTTTAAAGAATCAATTTCCGATTGTAAGTTTCGCAAGGGAGAAACAATTGAAAGTAAATGTGTTTTATCTTCATTTAGTTGTTGAATATTCTTTGAAAGAGAATATTTTATCTCTGCAATGCTATTTTTTAATGTTAACAAATCGGAATTATGTTCATCACTTTTTTGTACATTAGAATTCAAAATATTGAATATACTTTTTTCTAATTCTTCAATTTTTAAATTTACTACGGAGTTATCTGTAGTTTTGTCAGAAAGTTTTAATTCATTTAATTTTAAAGATAGTTCTGATAGTTTTGCATCATAATCAGGTCTAGTGCTTAAAACTGTTTGAAGGTGTGACTCAATTTTATTTGTTAATTCTAACAGATTTGCGTTCAGTAAATTCAGTCTCAATTTTATCGAGTAAACTATGATATTTGTCTGATTCTTCCCAAAATTTTGGAGGGATTACATTTTTAAAAAGTTGTTCCTGTTCTGGTCTCAAAAAATCATGTCTCAAAAATTTTATTCCATAATGAAGTTGGGTGGGTGTTAATTTTTCATTATAAAATCTTCTATTATTAATTATAAAAGTAGTAATTGGAATTAAGTCCTCCCATTTTTCCCTATCATGTAATGTAAGTGTTTTAAGACCCCTTTGTATAATCTGGTTATAGATTTCTACAATTGATCGGGCTCTAGATCGATATGGACTTGAAACTGGTTGAATAATAGAATGTGTATTTAAAAATTTCACAAATTCAAGGGAACGAAAGCCACTGTAATTATCACATATCAAGTATTTTATCACGCCATTTGTTGAAAGATAATTGCGAATACAATTGGTAACACTACTACTTTTTTTATCTTTCAATACATATGTACTTATAAATCGACTATAAAGGTCCACAAAAACTAATAAAAATGCATTTTTTCATGGTAGGCCTTCTATAAAGTCCATAAAGACCATTAGATTTGATTTTTTTACTGGAAATATTCCATGTTTTTGTTTATCCATTTGAGATTTTATTAAGACACATGCAAGGCATGATTTTGATGTTTTTTCTGCAATCCCTTTAAGAAGTTTTGGTTGTTCAATAAAATATAAATTTTTGCAAGCTGAAACTAAAGCATTTATTCCCTGATGCAATCCAAGTAAATGTTCACGTAAAACAGCAAAAATGTATAAACTAGGAGGTAAAACACATTTGTCATCTATAAACATGAGACCATTTAATTCTACGGCTTTTGAGGGAAGGGCGATTTTATTTTGATGTATGATAATTTCTGCTCTTGTTAAAAATTTATCGAGTATATTTCTTTGTTCCATAAATATTTTTAATGTATTTGTTTTAATATGAAAATTTTCTTCAATTGGTTTAATATCTAAAAAATATTGGTTTTGTATTTTTACATCTACTTTATTTTCCGAAAAATTAATTAAGTTAGGGTATTTTTTACAAAAATCCATAATTGACGACCAGGTCAGATATTCAGGGAGTTTTTTTCTTACTTCATGGTTTATTGATAAAGGAGTTAGACTTCTTGAGAAAAATGTAGATTTTGGGAGACCCAATCGAGATAGAAAATCGGAAATATTTTGTTTCCCTGAGATATTAAGAATTCTTACATTTTTATATGATAAAGCAATTTTTAAAGACCATCTAATTAGTTTTTTACTACTATTTTGAGTTTCTGGATTAAACATAAAAAAACTAGTTCTGGAATCAGTGCAAACCAAAGTAAGAGGCGACCCAATTATCTCAGTTTTAAAGGAATCTAGGGCGTAAAGCAGTGCACTAGATTCTTTCAAATAGATAGCATGATGTAATTCATTTTTTGCAATGGCCTTAGAAAATTGTGATATTAATTTTATGTTTTGTCTTGCATCATTGTTATCTAAAGATTTTTTAAACTGCTCTAAAATTAATTTTGGATCTACTTTATCAATACGCATTTTATTATTTGTTTCCAATTTGAAATTATCCAGATCAATCTTATCCAGGATATAAAATAAAGTAAACTTATTAACACCCTCTTCATATCCCAAGATTACATCAGTTTTAAACCCGTCAATCAAACAAAAATATGGTCGTTTTTGTATTTTATCATTTCCAAAAATTAATTTAATATTACATTTGAACACAATCCCCGCTATTGCCAAAAAATGATCAAAATTTGATAGAAAAAATTCATTTGATATTTTCTCAAAAAAAATTATTTGCAAAAAATCATTGAGTTTCTTCGAAGAATCAAATAGTCGTCTAATTTTCAAAATGTAACCAAAGATCATATTTAAAAAAAAAGAAATATTGTGTTCATTATAGTCATAAATTTCATGAAAATTTTGAGAATATGTAAGTAAATGAATAAAATTTTCAAACATTGAATCGTGTTCTTGAGAGATAATGATTTTACAAGATATTTTGTAGAACATAATATGATTTTTGTAGGCTTCAGGAATGTTGTCTGATAAGAAATCTGGAGGATTTAGACGATAATGACTTATATCATATGAAAATAGAATGGCGCCTAATGTCGATTCCGATGCGTCACTGTAAATTATTTTTATAGAATCTTCTGAGTCCGGCTCTTGATAACTCAAATCCAAATTTAAAATCTCTTTAATTTTATTAAATGCATTATCATGTTCGGATGTCCAATTGAATTTACTTTTATTTGATGACAATGGGTTAAGAACAGACACTAAATCTATCACCTTCAAAGGAATTAAATGCCTTATGAAGGTCAAATAGCCAAGAAAACGCTGTAACTCTGTAATTGAATTCGGTGTTTTAAAATCTTTTAAAATATTTAATTTATTTTTATTAGGTATTATTCTTCCTTTGTCTACTTCATATCCTAACAACTTAAAATTATCTTCTTTTACTTTAATGAAAAATTCACTTTTAGGTATATTTATTTTTAAACCAAGGCGATTTAAACGATATAAAAATTTGTCTACGTCTATCATATGTTTCTGTAATGTTCCTACTGAGCTTATTAAGAAGTCATCAATCCAAAATTTGAAATTCGTATTATTTGTTGAGAGTGGGTCAAAGAGTCCATTATCATCCATATTTAGTTGCTGATTCACAACAGTACTCCAAAACAAAGGTATATTACTCAAACCTGTAATTGGAGCTAAAAATCTTACACAACGTTCAGGGGTGTAAACTTGGGTTATATTAGAATCTAAAGTTTTTTGACTACATCTCAACGAATAGTACGCGTTGGTCAAATCTACCTTACTCAAATAATCATATTTAGACATTATATTTTTTAGAGGTTCTGTGACTGAGTCTGAAAAAGTTGATACAGGTTGCCTTATATAAGAATTTACCAATCTTGTATCTATAATAAGTCTATGGGCCCTTGAAGAATCTGGACGGCTTACTAAAAAACAAGGGGATCCCGTAATATTATCCAATTTTGCATTTTCAGCTAATCCAAAAAAGATCAGAAAATCTAGGATGTCATTTAACGACTCATTTTCTTCTTTAGATAAACTATAGGCTTTTGTCATTTTTGGCAGTTCTTTAATTAAGGGTATGTCCATCAGGATTGGTAACCCATTTACATCTTTTATTTGACCCACATCGTATGAAAATTGTGATACTAAATTTGGGAATTTTGTAAATTCAGCAATTAAGAAATCCCTTTGTTCTTTTGTATATGATTCCTTCAAGCTGCATTCTACTATTTCATGCGGTTTCTTAATTGGAAAATGTAGTTTAGGCAATGAAAGTCCAGGCAACTCGGCCAATTTTTCCAACGTTGATTTTTCAGAATTTTCAGAATCATCAGAATTTTCCTCAAATACACTATTTAAAAACATAAGACGTGTAACACCTTCTCTTTGTATATTGTAATATGATTGGTTAAAATCACAGGATTTATTATAAAATGGAAGTGGACATGTTTTTGAATCTAAGATTATTTTTCGCCCTTCTGGATTCTGTAAAGAAAAAATATCTTCTTCATTTACTAGTTCTACATTTATTGTTAAAGTTTTTGGCTTAAACGACACCTTTTTGTGAGAATCATTCCTTACTAACACCTGTATGGAACCGTTTGTAGCTATTCCTATAGAAGGAATAACGATTGAGCTGCTGTCCATGTTGGAAAAACTTAAATATGTGCAATCATTGATAAACCGTTCGTGTTGTAACAACAAAAATTTCGCTTGTTTTGGATACAATGTTGTTTTTGTATTAATTCGAATACAATTTTGTTTGTTAGTTACAAATGTTGATGGAACAAAAGAATTATTACAAAGAATCTCAATAGGTTTAGTAAAGTTTATTTTCATTTGAAAATTTTTTAGTAAATCCAATCCTAAAATAAGTTCATTCGATTTTTCAGGAATAGATAATTGAGCCTTAAGAACTGTTTTTCCTATTTTTATAGTAAAGAGCTTAGCCCCTAATATGGAGAATGTACTACCATCAACCCCTATTCCATATTCTGGTTTATTAACACCATCTTCAAAAGTTCTCCAATTTGGAAAATATTTGTTGATATAGTTAAGACCTATAATGCTACTTTCTGAACCAGAATCACAAAGTGCCAAAAATTCTATATTATTAATTAAAATGGGTATAGTAACCTCTGAAATAAATGACCTTTCATTTATAGATCGCAAAACATTAAAGTGTTGAAAATTTTTTGTAAAACTTTTATCTTGATTTTCCAGTTTAATATTATTTTCACTAATTGAAACATTTAGGTTCTCTACAATTTTTTCCTTATTTTCTAATGATATTATACTATCCTTAATTCTATTCTTATCAACTAATGAATTTTTTTGTAATTTTTCAGTTTTTGTTATATTTTTCATTAAATTTGGGACAGAAACTAGTTTTTTGAAGAAAAACTTTTACATTTTGAACTTGGATGGTAGAGTTTAATAAACATTGAGTTAAGACATTTACTGCATGGTTCCTGGGATGGTTCCTGTCCCTTATATTTTGGGCACTGAACTGATTGATGAGATTGTTCATTGCACAATCGACAGCGTGTAAAGCAGGAAGTTGCTATATGGCCTTTCCTATTGCAAGACGAGCAAAATTTTTCTTTTTTACAGTATTTATCAATATGTCCTTGTTTAAAACAATTTTGGCATGTTTTAGTTTTAAAACAATTATTATTTTCATGGCCAGGTTTTTCACATATTGTGCAAAAACGTTCCTGATTTACACTGCCGTCTTCTGTGGTTTGAAGCATATTAAAAGTATTTGCTTTAGATTTATGGGTTTTTCCTAAGTAAGCATCAATCTCGATTTTGTGCTTATAAAGAATGTCAATAATGTTAGGTAAAAGTGGGTGTTTCCCTTCGTTTAAAGATTCAAAAGTATCTACGTAATCAACAATTTTTTCAAAAATCCTTATTGGAACCACATTTTCACAAGCATGAACAAATATTTTTGCCTGTTCCTCAATGTCCTTCTGACTTAATGTTAATAATTTTAATGTTTCTTCAGTAAAATCTTTAATGTTACTATAGGATTTTTTATTATTCATCAATGCACTGAAAGCCTCACGTTTCGTGTAATCCCGGTCATAAATATTTATCAAGGTATTGTAAAAATCTTCTAAACTAGAGATATTATATGATCTTATTGCTGTTTTAACTTTAGCGGACAGTTTTTGATTTAAAAGAATTTCGAATTCATTTCTATTTACTTCAAAACCAAGGCCTTCACAAATTTGATTGAGATTGCATAATAAATCACGAATTGAGAATTCCTGTGTATTATCAAAAATAGGAATTGCATTAAAGATTCTCTGATATTTTGATAGACGATCAATGTCAATTTTCTTTTTTGTAGAACTCAAGTTTTTTGGTGGAGAAATATTAACACGGTCTCGGCATTTATTTAAGCTCAAAAATATCTGAGAAGCGGTATTAGATTTACTATTTGTGTTATATTTGTCAAACATATTTTTAACTATAATATCTAGATTATTACCGCAAATGGATTTTTTGTCCAATTCATTTGTAAAATCACTCAAGATACCAATCCTTTCAAGCTTATCTGTTTCATCCAGTAAAGGACTGTCATCATTTTCATTACTAAGGTCATCCGATGTGTTATATTTTTCCAATTGTTCCTTTCTTTCTGAGCTAAACGATCTACTGGGACTACGGCCAATCGACTTTGATCTTGGTTTAAACATTTTAGAAGGTATCATTCTTTACTCAGCCCCTAAAATACCAAAAATCAAAAAGTTTAAATCTTCAACTAACAGTGTATACACAACGTACAACAGGATATCTTAAAAAGATGGCATCCGCCGCTCCTTGTACTCTGTTAATTTTGGACAAAAACTAAAGATAAAAATTAAGCTTAACAAGTCCCCTAAAAGACCAAAAATCAAAAAGTTTAAATCTTCAACTAACAGTGTATACACAACGTACAACAGGATATCTTAAAAAGATGGCATCCGCCGCTCCTTGTACTCTGTTAATTTTAGACAAAAACCAAATTGCAAAAAACCCAAAAAAACCCAAATGCTGAAAAAATTGGAAAAATATATAGATCACCTTAATAAAATAGCGATTTTACCAACAAAATGTACAAAAAGTGTTAATCAGAACAAAAAAGAAATAAAAATAAAAAATTGGTTTAATTAACTGAAATTGTTCTTTATCATAAAAAAGGTTCGAAAGTGGACCAACGCTCGCCAGATTTGAGTAACTTCACAAACGTACTTCAATAAAAGACTAAAAAAACCTCTTTTTCATTCTCATTAACACTTCTATGAAAAAAGATGACTTACTTGAAAGAGTAGTTTGAGTAATGGACGTTTATTCACTGATCATGGTAACTTTTTAACAGAGAGTCTTTTACTAGTTTACAAAGTATTTATATGATTGCAACCAGACAGCGGAGGGTATTGCGAATAGTATTTTGGCAACAATATTTTGCGTAAGGCTGGGTAGTTTGCGTATACAGTAGATGCGTCATGTTAAAGGTTGGATTTGAAAGATAGAGGAATTGTGAAAATATTGACACACACTATGTTTTATATCATCTTTCAACAGGGTTGCTTTGGCGGTTGTGGCTTGTCCCAGCTTTGACTAATTGTACTGTTATTAAATTCCAGTCCTGCATCTATCCTGGATTTATTTGGTGTCCCATACAATCCAATCTAGTTCTTTATTGTTGCTTAAGAACTGTCTTTGCTGATTTGTCAAGGATAGGCAATGCTGTACATTGACAACTAAATTGACCAATCATGATTAAAAAATACTTATCTCTATTTGAGGATAATTTGTTTATTTTTTTTCCCATGACATGATGTGGTTGTTACAATCAAATCTCGAAATTTGTCTTAGGTGAAAGTTTGGTTTTGTTTGGGTTTATATTGATCTACCAGGGGTTGTAATATGGCAGAACATGCATCCTTCCACGCATCATTTTTACTGAGAAGAGGGTTGACAAGATTCCAGCTGCCAAAGGGTTTCTTAGGCCTGAGAAAAGAAGAGTGCAGGAATTCTTCTGATATATTAGTGCCTAATGACAGGAAACATTACACTTATTGCTCCCAATCATTTGTAAGCCCGGATTGGATACCTACAGGTACCTGTAGCTGGCAATCATAGACTCTCCCTGCTTGTCCACCTTTCCTCTCTTCATCATCATTCACTTGGATCAATTCGCTTAAAGTTTCTTATTGAGTAGAAAGCACGCACCCTAACGCTGTGCGAGTTGTTGACAGCCGCCCCTCTGTCCTCCTACATCTGTCAGGTGGTTATAACTGCTTAACCAAATGTTGGCTTCAGATGTTTGTGAAACCACAGGTTTGAGTGGAGTATGGGAATCGAACCAGTGAACACCAGTCTGGACACCATTCCAGTTACTGGCTTAAGACAAGTATGCTTAACTTCAGAGAGCTAACAAGAACTGGTGTCACACACTCCCCACCCCATCCCACAAAGGATTTGAGGTCTATGTTGTGGGACTTACAAGGTCCATGCACAAGATGTCATTGATATTTTTTGCACAGTCCAAGAATGGTTCCACATTTTGAAAATTGTTCTCTATGAAGACAACCTGCACATTCTGTGACAAATAGGCTGGTGTCTTTGTGCCATCCTGGCCAGTTAAACACTGTTCTTCTCACCTGTTGTGTTGTATGTTGTACTCCCCAATTCATGAGCATGTAATGCTAAAAGTCCCTGTGCAAGGGTTGGACTGCACTTCTCATAATGGGTTCTGATTCAAATTCATCTTCAATTAAGTGTATTAATCTGGAATTTTTTGTTGCATTGTTATCTTTTAGTCTGAGCTGTTTTCTTACCTAGTACAGTTGTAACACATCTGTATGTACACTGTCAAATTCTTCTTTGTCGATTTTCCTGTCAAAACTTATAACTGTATTTTCAACAAACAAGTTCTCACCTGGTTTAACTTTCCAACATCATGTTGAGCTTTTTCTAAATCAGCTTGATCTAGTACTATTTTATCTTGTATAGCCCCAATATGGGGGGGACCTCTGCCTTCAATTCCATTTGTTGTAGGTAAGTGCCTTGGGAGCTCTGATCATGCAAATTCTACCTTTACAGGAGAGTATATTCTGAAGGATTATTGCCGTAGATCAAGGTAACAGGTATATATATGTCTTCTTTACCTTGAAATATAGAATCCATTTCTGACAGTTTTGGGTTATCCACAGTTTAGCCCTAGAAATTGGATCTGCATTTATGTTATACTTTCATGCACGGTGTGAACGTAGAGTTGAATTGTTGTATAAAGATGAGCCATCTGGGCAGGGTCCCCACACTAATTTTCATGGTGCTCCAATGCAGAACTGTGTTAGAATCTGGTATGACCACAAATTTAGCCATTCTAAGAATATGAAAATATTTAGGCAAACCAATGCTAACATTTTACCCTTCGAAGTTAATTAACTTCATAGGATTTGCATTTTCTGCCCTTAACTCCTAAATATTATTCTACTCCATTCAGTTTATGCTCAAACTGCAGCTTTACAGAAATCAATGGTTAAAATGAATGGTGTAGCATCTGGAGCAACAATGGTTGGGGTTTGGCACAGCTCTGATACAGACATCCTCTTTAGTGTTTCAAAATTATAAGTCATATCTGAGTCCCATGTCAAGGTTCTCTTATTTTTAACTTTTAAATTTGCTGTTTTCTCGGCAAAACCAGTTAAAAACTCTCTGTATTACCCAGCAAAACCTAGCAATGCAGATAAGTCTTTTCTAGTAGACAGTACTGGAAACAGAATTCCACAATTTTCTGCACAGAAGAGGGTAACAATTTAATTTGATCTTGTGAAACAAGATGGCCTTAATACCTGACCTCTGTCCTAAAAAGAAATGTTTATCCGCATTCAATATGATTCCAGCTTCTATGTGTGCCTGAAAAACTAATTAAAGCAAATTAAGATGAGTCTGAGCATCCTGAGATGACTTAGAAGATCGTCCACCTCCTTCTACCCCCAACATGTCAATCATCCATTGAACATGTCTACATTAGGCTGCCCCAGCATTTTTCATGCCACAGGGAATCCTGCAGATATGAAAGAGCCCATAGGCTGAACAGCACACCATTTTACATGCCCAGATTTCTTTAGCATGACAGGTATTAAAGAAGATGACCATATTGACTGAGAAGGTTCTATAACTTTATCTTTTAACAAATCTTGCAATTGTAATTTGAAATATTTCTGGAGAGGGAGGACTAGTGGTCTAAATTGTTTAGGAACTGGCCTCGATCCGGGCAAGAGGTCAATTTGATTGTATCCTAAGAAATATTGCCCACAAGACAATCTTTGTGAGTAAAAACATCCTGGTTACTCATTCAACATTGAATATAGATTTTAATAATTTCTGGAATATGTAGGTGAATATGTATGTGAACTTTGATTTAAAATCTTCCACAATTTTTTAGGGACTGATTTGCTATTCACATTTGATTTAATTGCATTAATTTTATCAATTTTTCCAAAGGAACACATTGAACCGTGAGTAATTATTTCTCCAGGTGTCAGGATAACACAATTCTTCAAATGCTTCAATTACAAAATGGTTAAATACTTAGCTTTTTCTTGTGTCTTGAGTCTGTACACTCTTGCAATTACACCATCAAGGTCAGACTCATTGACTGGTGACTGGAGAAGTTGAGAGGGATGGAGACCTCCACTCCAGACTCAGTTGTAGCAGGTATACAAACTCAGTTGATTGAAGGAACCAGGAGAATGAGAGCCTCTACTTCTCCCATGATGAAAACCTGCTTAGATAATTCTTCTGCCAATTCAAATTGATTTATTATAACATTGGCAATCATATTTTGTTTGCAGGTAAACTAACTTAGCTGAATTATTGGATAAGAATGGGCTTAAGAACATTGATCCTTAAAAAAATTGGTAGGGATACATTTTTTAGAATAATTGCTCTCCCTGAGAAAATAAGATTAATCTTACCAATGCTAACTTTAGTGCTAACATGTCCCCATATCTCCATCATTGTTTGCTGTCGCTCTGTATGCTGACAGCATACTCAATGGACTTAATCTACTCAGTTCCCCCCCCTCCCCAAATGTTGAAAATATTTTTTTCTAAAATTGCAATTTTAGACAGGACTGGCATTGACAACACTTTTTGGACAATTTACAATAGTATTTGTACCTGATGTTGACAACACCATCAAAGAATGATGCAGTTGAGTGCTCAGCACACAGGTAAATACTCCAGTATCCTACTACATGACTTTAATATGATTTGCAGCTGTTTCTTTGATTACAACTTTAGCCCAGGGCATTTCAGGATACTATGCTTAAACTCTGATCCCTACTTGAAGCTGGCCTTTCATTGAATTAACATAGGCTCTCATTCCAGCAGTTTGAGGTTGGGTTGGATATGCAGCAACACCCTGTTTCCTGAAGGTCTCAGCGATAGGGACATTTACTGTTGTCAGAGCCTCCTGTATCTTGAGACTTTTTTATGCCAGTATAGTAGGGGCTAGAGGTAATGCTTGTGTTTGGAACCACACAGGTTGAACCATGGGGGAAAACCACTGTCCTTGGCATTTCCAGATCAGGGATGTTTAGGTCAGCCAGTATTAGTTTTAAATAACAAAACAAATCAAGTCTTGTTTAACAATATCATGGTTGTGCTGTCTGTACAGTCCCTAATTTATCAAGAATATAATTCCTTACAAGGTCAAAGTCAAAACAACTTACCCACTCTGGGAAGTACATAATATTTTTAATTACTGGATCTTGACACGACGTCTTCCATAAAACTACCTTTTCAATGTACAGTAACTATCAAAATTGAACAGAAAATTGTGTAAAAATAGATTCAAAGCAGATATTTTATCTTTCTAATGGTGCACATGTACAGCTTTAATTGTTTTTTGAGTAGGTTGAATTGAAACGCAAACACAACAAGAATGTGAAATTAAACAAAACAGTTGGGCTTAGTAAAACTTATGCTGAAATACATAATTACACATTATTAGAGAAATTGATATATTTACAATTCAAGCATGTAAAGCAGATTAATCCTGCATCCACCTCCAACAGCTAATGTTCTGTTAATGAACTCCTCCTTAAAATCATTTGAAACTGACTGTCTCTATATACAATATGGCGGATTTCTCCTCCTCGGTTTGTATAAGAAAATCATTGCTCAGCTTTGCATGTAGGATTGTTAATCCTTTTAGTAAAGGATCGTTAAAAGATCTCTAATTGATCGTTTTTTTTCATTTTCAAAAACGATCATTTCATTTTTGAAAAAAAACGATCGTTTTTAAAAACGACCCACTTGTTTTGAACTTTTAGAATACAAACAGCGATCGTTTTTGATCGTTTTTATTAAAATGATTTGCGACCGTTTTTTAATACGATTGTTTTTAAAGAACGATCGTTTAAAAAAAAATTTTTTTGAAAATTTTGTTAACAATCTTTAACAAAGGGTAGTCGTTAAAGATCGTTAACCAAGGGTTGTCATTAACAATCGTTAACGAAGGGTTGTCGACAAAACAGCAAACTCTATTTAAAAAAACTCTATTTTGGAAAAAAATTACATGCAACTTTATTGAATGGGGGAGTTAAAACTCCTTGATATTTTCTTAAAAACTACTCAATGATATGTGCAGATGACCTTCAGGTCAGTTTCCTCCCTTTGTTAACAATCGTTAACGAAGGGGTTTTTGTTAACAATCATTTACAAAGGGTTGTCGTTAACGATTGTTAATGAAGGGTTGTTGTTAACGATCGTCAACAAAGGGTCGTTGTTAACAATTGTTAACCAAGGTTCGTCATAAGCGATTGTTAACAAAGGATCGTTAACAAAGGGTTGTTGTTAACAATGGGTTGTTCGTTAACGATCGTTAACAAAGGTTTGTCATTAACGATTGTTAACGAAGGATCGTTAACAAATGGTTGTTGTTAACGATGTGTCATCGTTAACGAAGGTTCGTTGTTAAGGATTGTTAACAAAGGGTCGTCATTAATGATCGTTAACAAAGGTTTGTCATCAACGATCGTTAACGAAGGGTTGTTGTTAACAATGGTTAACAAAACTATGGTTTTAATAACAATCATTTTTGAAAAACAAACTTTTTAAAAAAACGATCGTTTTGTCTTCGATTTTTCGTCGTCGTTTTCATATCGAAACGATCGTTTTTCTGAAAAATGAAAACTAAAACATCCCTATTTGCATGTGCCTTGTTCCTTGCTCCACCTTATATCCCTGCCCTAGCTGTTAAGTGTGGGGTTAACAGTTTCTGTACATGGCTTCACTTTTATTATTTTATGTTAGTAACTGTTATACCCCTGCACCATCTCCACATCAGGGGTGCATACAGTGGTATGCAATTATATCACTACAATGACGACAACTTTATTATATATGTTTGATTGTTAATAAGCTTTTTTCAAATAACAAATTTACAAGAAATCAAAAAGAAGCTTTTTTTGATTGATAAATTCTATCGACTTCAATGTTTTTGTGTAACCATGCTTTTTAACAGAGTAATTTGTATGAAAAATTGATTCAAATTTGTCTTCATTGTATTGGTAACACCAATTACCACAGTATTACTTGAACAATGTATCATTTTATCTCAGACAAATTAGAATCAATGGAAATTTGTCTGAGAGTAAGTGACATTCCTTTGTATAAAATTACAAATTATTTTTATTATTTATTATTATTTTTAATAGGGGCGAGATTAAATGAAAACTGTTGCATACCAAAAAACCAGCTTTTGTAAAGAAATGCATGTTTGTCATACATACATTTGACGATAATTAACCATGCCCATGAAGGGTTTCAAGAGCTCCATGAGATTGCAGTATTGAAATGACATTTTTTTCAGATCATTTAAGACATTTGTACGGTGTATAATTGCTAAGAAAGAGCAATCATATGATTTTAAAAATCAAGTTATGAACTCAAGCTTACAAAATGGCTAGTCAGGCAAATTTTAAACATTGAATTTGAGATCTTAGAAGGCAATTATATACTATAAAAAAATGTCTTCTCTCTTATAATAAAAATAACTAAAGTATTACTTACTATATTTTTGGATTTTTGCTTTACTATGCACTCCTACAGTTTTGGTATTTCCTTTGGATGTGTTATCTAAAACATTGAAAATTCAATTATTTTTCTTATTTAAAAAATTAAGAATAATAAATTTATGCATATAGAGTTTTTAATTTTTAGGCAGAATTCCTATATAAACCAGTACGTAAATTAAAGCTGAAAACTTCAGAATTGTAGATATGGAGATTAATGCTTGATTTTTGTGACATCATAGCAGTTGCAAAGCTGCTAAATTAGGGAACTATACGTAAAGAGGCTCATGCTTTCCTATTTTATTTACTTACATTAGATCAGTGTCAGCTATGTTCAAATTCAAACAAATATTCCAAATATTTTGAATTCAAGGTAAGTGTAGGTTTGGGGGGGGGGAGGAAGTCTCCAAGCCTCATATTCTGTTCCAGTGTGCCTATTCAACTTTACTCTTTCTTTATGTTGCTTGTAATTTCTTACTTTAAGTTGCAGCTCTTTCCTTACAAGGGCATTTTTTATGTTTTGAGTCCTCTCAAAATAATCCTTGTGACACTGAGTTGTGGAGCAGACAGGAAGGAGACTAGGAGGTTTGGAGGAGGAAGGGTATATAGGATTTCAGTAGAAGATCCCTGCTTTCCTTCATGTTAAAGTCTTTTCAACTTAATTGGAATTAAGGGAAACCCATAACTCTGCACCACTTATGCAAAATGGGAAAGCCCTAAAACTCCCCCTTAGGTGGAATCTTCCACAGTAGTCCTATCCTCACAGGTGGTTAAGTAAACAACCTGTATAATTGTGCATGGCTTCTATACCTATCAGGGGTTTCTGTGTTACTTCTTACAGCTGAGATATTGAGCCAAGATATGGTGAAGATGGAGTGTAATAATGAATATTGTCTTCAATTACAAGCTAAATGTAAATCCTAGGGAGTTGTGAGATCCATCAAGTGCACCTGTGGTTAAGAGCTTATGCAAATATTTCATTCTAGATCCCCTTACTCTTGTTTAAGTATTAATCCCTTTAACAACCTCTTTGTACATATATCTCAGATTATCAATGAATTGGGATTAATCAGTTTCATGGTTTATTTACTAAATACATCTGTAATGTTTATTCATGTATAATAAGTTCCTTTAGATATTCGACTGTCCAGGATCTGTCCAAGTAGCTTCTTCTATTCCTCATTGTTATCATCGTTGTTATACTCATTGTTATCATTATTGTTATTATCATTTGTATCATCATTGTTATCATCATTTTTATCAATATTGTTATCATCATTGTTATTGTCATTGTTATCATCATTGTTATCATCATGGTTATCATTATTGTTTTCCTTATTATATCTGTAAAGAGCTGTTCCACAATGAGACGTGTCTCCATTCTCTGAATCCTGGATATCCTAGTTCTCCTATGTGTCCTGGATATCCTAGAAGTCCTGGAGTGTCCCTATTACATAAACCAACTCAAGATCATAATGTTTCTGCTTACAAACACCTCTACTGCTCACAGGTCCCAGTAAATCTGTTGATAGCTCCAACTGGAGAATGATATCCTTAGTGATGCTGAAGGTTACAAGGATGTGTATTCATTTTGAAGGATGGAAAGAAGTCTGGCATCCTCCTTACCCAGGAAACAAAAGTGGATGATACAACTAGATATCAACTAGTTGTTCTAAAATCCACTTCAAAACTCCACTTAAACTCAACTTTAACTCCACTTTTGAATTCAAGTCACCAACTGGTTGAAATATGGGTACATAAACTCAACTTAAACTCAACTTTTTGAATCCCAGTTTTTTTTAGTCTGGGTGAAAACTGGGAGTTCAAATATCCACTTTAAAACTCCACTTTAACTCAACTTAAACTCCACCGTTGAAATCCACTTATCAACTGGGTGAAATCTGGATGAATAAACTCAACTTAAACTCAACTTTTTGATTCCAATATTTTCCCAGTCATCAACTGGGTGAAATCTGGTTGAATTAACTCGACTTAAACTTGACTTTTTGAATCCCAGTTTTTACCAAGTCAGGGTGAAAACTGGGAGTTCAAATATCCACTTTAAAACTCCACTTTAACTCGACTTAAACTCCACTGTTGAAATCCACTTATCAACTGGGTGAATAAACTCGACTTTTTTAATCCAATATTTTCCCAGTCATCAACTGGGAGAAATCTGGGTGCATAAATTTGACTTAAACTAGACATTTTGAATCCCAGTTTTTTCCAAGACAGGGTGAAAACTGGGAGTTCAAATATCCACTTTAAAAGTCCACTTTAACTTGACTTAAACTCCACTGTTGAAATCCACTTATCAACTGAATGAAATATGGATGCATAAACTTGACTTCAACTCAACTTTTTGAATCCCAGTTTTTACCAAGTCGGGGTGAAAACTGGGAGTTCAAATATCCACTTTAAAACTCTACTTTAACTCGACTTTTTGAATCCCAGTTTCTGTGTTGATATATTCACTTAACCTCAACTGCACAAAAATGCATTTTTAAACCAGAATTTAATATTATTTGATGATTTTTCAAAAGAATTGATATGTAAGAAATTTTATGCAAGTATTTTGAAAATACAATGTTTCAAAATTTCTATCATTTTGGGATAAATCAATGTCAGTAAATTCTTGATTTTTAGATAAATAGAAGTTCCACTTAAACAATCTTGCAACAGGTATAATGGAAAGTTGATGCAGTTTAACATATGTATGTATGTATGAGTGTTAATTTAGATTATTACAGATGGAGAAATGATGATTGATGAATGGGTGAATTTGTGAAGAAGAATACTGGATTGGATTGGTGATATCTGGATGATATGTGGATGATATCTACTAGATATCATCTAAATATCACCCACATATCATCCAGATATCATCCACATATCATCCACATTTCATCCAGATATTATCCAGATATCATCCACATATCATCCAGATATCACTTACATATCATCCAGATATCATCCATATATCATCCAGATATCACCCACATATCATCTGCATATCATCCATATATCACCCACATATCATCCAGATATCATCCACATATCATCCAGATATCACCCACATGTCGTCCATATATGACCCATATATTGTCCAAATATTACCTGGTCAATATTTTTTACAACCCCCCAACTTGGTGAAAAGTCGAGTTTTAACCCTTATATGGCACAACTATTGCCTGTGAAAACTCCACTTTTAAACTTGATTAAAACTCCAGTTCTCATCATCCAGATATTACCCAAATATCATCCAGAAATCATCCAGAAATCATACAGAAATCATCTAGATATCATCCAGATATCATCCAGAAATCATCCAAATATCATCTTGGTGAAAAGTTGAGCTTTAATCCTTGTATGGCATGACTATAGCCAGTGAAAACTCCACTTTTAAATTTGATTAAAACTCCACTTCTGAAAGCAAAAGTCAAGTTTTACTTGAGTTTAACTTGAGTTTTTGTTTGCTGGATACTACTCTGGTCATCCTGAGAGCTGTCAATGGAGATAAGGGGGATAAACAGAGCAAACCTCTAACATCAATCCTGTATAAGATCCTGCAGCATACTGCATAATCTCCAGGTCCCAGATATTGTGATAAAAAGAGATTAGGAGAATTTGCAGGAGTTGCTGTGTCTTAATTATTTCAAGAGTTCTTGTTTACTTAATCTTATGTTTCTCTACTCCCCTGAAAGATGAGTCATGAGCGACTCTATGCAAAACTCTTCAGGACTGTTGCGCTGAGAGCTACTATGGCAGAGGTTCCTTGCCCACTGAGAGCAGGAAGCAACTCACCTCTTTTCATTATTCTCAAGATTAATACATTCTTTAGTTTGAAAACCAGATCATTGTTTAAAGTTATACCAATTAGAGTGGTGTATTAGAAGTTGGGAAATTAGAAATTTTTGCAAAATTTATCTAAGGTAATCTAACTTTTCAGCTTAGAACTAAAATTAAATCTAACAATTACCAATAAACCAGGAATTAACTGATATTTTTCCATTGTGAGTAAACTCATTCTAAACAAAATTAAAGGATAATAGAGATTTTTTCTTTTTATAAATTTTGTTTATTAAACACATGTAAAGAAACAATAGTAAAACTTGGTGAAATAGTTGATATCTTTAATCACAAATTTAAGGAATTTAAAACTAAGAAATCGCAAAATAGTAAAACTTTTTAATCATTTCTTTTATGCAGTGGATAAAAATTGTTCAGGCTTAAAGTATTCAGAGAAACATAAAATAGGGGGACTAAAACAACTCACTAAAAGTTGATGATTTGTATATTTTTGAGGCCATTAAAAATCCGAAAAATTATAACGTTCTTTTTTGTTGATTTGATCACTCTCCTCAACTCTAGATATTTGCAAAAATAAATCTGTTAGATCATAGTTTGAAAGTGCATATGTTAAAAAATAGAAAATAGGAAATAGGATTTGAGGCGAGTAATCAGTTTCTTTAAACATTTTAATTATACTAATTATGGCATACTTTATTCATTATTTTGAAAAACACTGCAAAGTCAGATTTAAGATGGTACTCTTTATGGTACCCTGATCAAGTATGAATTAAAAATCATAATTATAATTTTTACTGCATGCAAAATTATTTAAAATTATTAGAAATGAACACTTTTAAATCTAAAAAAAACTTTTAAATTAATGATCAGATAAAGGTTTTAAGGGTACTGTAGTGAATCAGACATTGTCATCTTTGCGTGGAAGGTAGAATTACGCTTACATTCCATTTAATAATTGTATCACACCTGAATATGTTCTGGGATCATATCCCAATGCATGGCACTGTGTCCACTAGGCTTATCAATCTCCTCGCTAGCAAAGATGCCAGCACAATCTACCTAAATAATATTATCCATTCAATTATGAGAAAATTTAAATTCAGCAATTTTATGAACTTGAATAAAACAAGTTTCTTATTTGATCCAAGGCAAGTAAGTCACATTTTGTAGAACTTGAATTTAATACATTTGTATATCCAACTTTCTTTTGTAGAACTTGAATTTAATATACATTTATATATCCAACTGACTTGCGTTATATGGTGTTTGTGATCTCTCATTACATCATGGGATTGAAAAACTTGATTTCCCTGAAGATTTTTTACTCAAGAAGAATTAGTTGGAGGCTGTTGAAATTTATAATACTAGAAATTCAAGGCGCTTCGCGCCCTTCTTTCTAGCCTTAGAGGGCGCTTCGCGCCCATCTTCTAAATTAATTGTAAACATGTTCTCTTTGTGTACATCGTAAAACTAAACAAAAATAATTCGCGGATTTTTACAAAAAATTTCGCGGATTTTCAAAATTTTAAAAAATTTAATGACGATCGAATTTTGATAGAGACAAATATTTGAAATTTTGATGATTCATAAACCTTCCCTGGGCTCAGTCCCACAAAAAATTTGGGCCCGATTGGTTCAGCCGTTTTGACGTTTATTGGATACAGACAGACAAACAGACAAGCCAAATTTATATATAGATTTTCCATTCTTTGGTTACCTTAGCTGTTATAGTTACCATTCTTGAGTTACCTTAGCTCTTACAGTTCCCATTCTTAGGTTACCTTTTTTATATTTTCAATTATTTGGTTACCTTAGCTGTAATAGTTTCCATTCTTGGGTTACCTTTTCTGTAATGGTTCCCAATCATAAGTTACCTTAGCTGTAACAGTTCTCATTCTCAAATTACACAAGCTATGCTGTAACAATTCCCATTCTTAGGTTACCTAAGCTCTAACAGTTTCCAAGCATAAGATACCTGAGCTGTAACAGCAAGGTTACATAAGCTGTATTGTAGCAGTTCCCATTTAAAGGTTACCTTAACTGTAATCTTTCCCATTCTTAGATTACCTTAGCTGTAACTGTTCCGAATCTTGAATCCTGGCTGTAATGTTTCCCAATCTTAGATTACCTTAGATGTAACTGTTCCAAATCTTAGATTACCTTAGTTAAACAGTTCCAGTTCTTAGAATACCTTAGTTGTAACAGATCCAGTTCTTAGATTACCTTAGTTGTAACTGTTCCAGTTCTTAGATTACCTTAGTTGTAGCAGTTCCAGTTCTTAGATTACCTTAGTTGTAACAGATTACCTTAGTTGTAACAGTTCCAGTTCTTAAATTACCTTAATTGTAACAGTTTCAGTTCTTAGATTACCTTAGTTGAAACAGTTCCAGTTCTTAGATTACCTTAGTTGTAACTGTTCCAATTCTTAGATTACCTTAGTTGTAACAGTTCCAGTTCTTAGATTACCTTAGTTGTAACAGTTCCAGTTCTTAGATTACCTTAGTTGTAACAGTTCCAGTTCTTAGATTACCTTAGTTGTAACTGTTCCAATTCTTAGATTACCTTAGTTGTAACTGTTTCAATTTTTAAAGTTACTTTAGCTGTAACAGATCTTGAATTAACTTAGCTGTAACAGTTCCAATTCTTGATTTACCTTTGCTGTAACAGTTCCCATGACATCTTCAGGATTTTTCTGTATTTCCTTTGTTAGATCACAAAGCTCGCCACATATCTCAAGAATAGTATCAAACCGTCCACCTGATTAGAATTGTAAGGTGTAGAGGGGCAAGTCCTAATCTTGAAATGTGATTAATTCTGATGATTTCTCATAGTTTCTTAAAAAGTATTTTGCAAGTTTGTTTGAGTAAAACACAAATAAAAAACAAAACAGAAATGAAATAATGTTTACAGTTTGTTTTAGAATTATTACCTAATGGACGTCTTTGAGGTTTTGGCCGGAAAAATGAGACCTTGTTCTAAACAGAAATCTTTTTGTATCATAAGAAATGTTTCTGTATCAATATCCTGAAGTCAAAACTTTTTTAATTAAAATCTGAACAGGGTAAATTTTTTAATTAAAGGATTTAATTTAAATTCTGGGATTATAAGAGAAATTCATGAAAATATCCTTAAAATTTACGTAATGGATTTCCAGTTAAGTCAATGTGGCTTAGCACTATCCAAACAAAAGGTTTAGATAAGAATTGAAAAAAAATGACCTGCAAAGCATTCCAGGAACCATAAGATTCCAAAAATCCTTTGTGAAAACTGTAAACTTGAATTGTATAATTCAGAATAAATCCAATACCCTGAAATTTATTAACTAATTAAATTGGTAAAAAAGCAATTACATAAAATTACCAATTAAAGATACAACATTTTTGAATGAAAGATCTCTGCATTTTCAGAAAAATGAGATGTGGTAAACGTGAAAAAACATGCTTACAACAAAGAATGTGCTGAGGAGTACCAAATAAACCATAGAATGCTTCTTTCGCATGGTTAATCTGAAAAAATTCATAAAATTCATGTGATTTTTGTAAACAATTTAGAAGCATCATTAAAAAGTTTATTTTTTACATTTATTTTTGATATTGGTATGTAGCAAAAAGCGGGTATACATGATATTTTGTAAACTTGCATTATGTTGTATGTCATGAATGATATAATGTTATAACCTCAACTAACTAAAAATTAAATTATAGTTTCAAGATCTGTAGCTTTAGTCACAAAAAAAAGTTTTCGGCCATTTTAGATTTTTTTCTCACAGACTAGACTTTTTTCCCGCCCTGTACTAGTGTTTCCAGTCGTTTTTACGTTACACGTAATTACACATAATTAAGCGTAACACTTTCTTTCACTAACAGAGGAGCATTACTTGAAATTACGTGCTAATTACATTTACAAAAGAAAGTCTTATAGTTTCGCGTAATTAAGATGTAATTACATGAAATTACGTAATACAAAACCATTCCGTAAGTACATATTAATTCTCAGAAATGAATATATCGGGAAAATATGTGTAAGGATATGTGCAATCTGATTGGATAATTTAAATACTTTCAAATTGAATCAAAATTTGTTTATGTTGATGTTAGTTCCACATTTTAATGAAAATGTATTTTGGTCTAGGATGACCCTTGTCAGTTCTCACGTTATAATAACCATCAAAATCAACGTTAAAAACCACAAGAAAATAAACAAACAAAAACGATTATTTAAAGAAATGTTTAAAGTTGTGAGTCATTCTGATATTGACTTTTATTCTGCAGTGAAACTAAGTAGGTAATCATCTCATCACTTACATTAACCTGAAATATTATAAATAATACAAAGAGAACCTTGTCCTTATCACAATGGGGTGGAGGGGGTGTCCCCCCTCCCGTTTTTTTTTCTAAATAACTTAAAAATCCTTTGAAAAAAGAATGTAATAACAAGTGTAATGTAATATATTAATATTTTTGAAGGTACAAATTTTTATTTTTAACATTTTTCAGACATACTTTTTGAACTTTTTAAAGTCTTCCCGTGCACTCTAATCATTGAAGATGGAAGTATAATTTTATTATGAGCAGGCCTTGGAAAGATTGGCTAGGGTGGAGAGGAGGGCCATGCGGCCATGAAACCCGCAATATCCTGTTTGAATCCAGTTAGTTAGCAGAACCCTGTTCAAACCCCAGAATCCTGTTCGAACCCCTTGAAACCTTTTAAAATATGATAACGAATGTTCTATTTGCAGATTTATACAAATAAACAGGTTGTTAGAAATCGCTTTTTTTTACTTGGTTTACAGTTCAAAGTTATTAACTCAAATATATTTGATTATCAATGAACATATTAAAAATAATAAATTGAGACTAACAGTCGTCTTCCTCTTCCACATTATAATTACATGTAAACATTTTAACTTTGTTTGGCAAAATTTTCAGACTGATATTTATTTGAAGTGAATTTGATATTCCATAAACTTCTGACGGTGAAAAACTTCATATACAAAGGCTTTTTATTGTAACAAAATTTATGATTTAAAATATCAAAGCTGTCAACAACATTGGTTTGCAAAGTTATTGGGAGTAAAAAATCAAAGTTTGCGGCAATAATTTAATATCTTTTCTGGAAGTAAATGATATATCTAAATATTTCTGTAAATGTTTTTTATTTTTACCTTATCAGGTTTGATTAAAATATCATCTATGCCAATAGTACCAATATGCTTGTACCCCTGGCTAATCATATAATTCAGTAAATCTCGTCTGAACATTTTAAAAATAATGAATTAATCAAACAAACATTTCAGTAACATGATAATCCAATCAAATGGCATAGTTTACAAGGATTGATAATAGTAATAAAATCATCTAGTTGCTGATCTATCATAATAACACTCTGTAAGCCTTTCAACAATTTTTTAATTACAACAATAAATTTTTTGCCAGATTTTACTGTTTTCACTCTGTAGGTTTTTCATTTTGACATTTTCTTGTGAAACATATGGTTTCAGGGTTTTAAGTCTTAATCTAAGAAAAAAAGTATATAGTGTTGTTGTTTTCTTGAGCTTTTTCACATACAAAACTTTTCAATTTATTTGATTATTTTCTCTTTTGCTTCAAAAAATATCAAAACAAAATTTTAAGCTTCCTATATCTTAACAGGAGAAGAAAACTCTTAAAAATAATCGCTTATGATCGCTTCTATCTATAAGGAGAAAATTGTTAATTGAATCTTTTTCTGTATCATCACAGATTACAGCGTATACTTATTTTTAAGATCAAGTTCAAAAACCTTTATTTGGCTAGTGATTGCATACGAACAAGCCCCAACCCCCCTCCCACCTCAAAACAAAGACAAATATACATATTAAAGTTCTAAACCTTGTCTCTGTTTTGTCAAATTCTCCAATATGATTTGTCTCTATTCCTACCAGCCATATATCCACCAGATGCCATGGTATAGCTTTCAAAACCTAGATTTATAGATAGAGTGTTAGATAGAGGGGGCTGTCCAATTTTCAGAGGTACCCTCCAAGTTTAGTCAGTTTAGTAACTGTTCTCATTTCTAAAATTGTTTTATATTTTTTTTATAAAAAATCGGCTCAATCATATAAATTGTCCTTTTTATGAAAAATCTACAATGTCTGTAAAATGTCCCATATATGAAATTTTCTATTTATAATTTTTTTATGAAAATGATATGTCCATTAACAAATTGAACTTCTATGAAATATCATAACACCTTAAAAAATTATAAACCTTTAATTCTGCCCCCTCTATGTCCAGTGAAAAGTAATGAACTGTAGGATTACCAAGAGCAAGAAGTAATGTATAAAGAGGAATACAAGTTTTCTAAACAAATAATACAATATAGTGGTATCTATAAAACTGTTAGATAAGAACACAGCGTTAAGATTTAAAGTGACTGTATGAGCCATTTAATTTCACCTTTCATTGAAAGAGGCTATTCCTGGTTCACAACAGTGCCCTATTAAACCTTTGACTGATCAAGGATGACAGATATATCCTAGTTAATCTACTGGATATAGAAACATGTGTCAAATCCTGATTTGATAAGACAAAAAACTTATATTTTACATTTTAATGACCCTTTTTTGGTATTTTTTTAACTCCCTAGCAAACAAACTATTAAAGTTATCAGTTTGATTTTTTTCTTCAATAAGCTGGCCTTGAAAAAATGGGTCATCACCAATACCATGCATTTTAACCATAACACCTTTTTCTAGGGGGCAGGGCATCCCATAGATTCAGGATCAGTTCACACTGAACTAGGGTTTCTACGAAATGGCTAAATCTTTTGCGCAATTTTTTTTTTGCGAACTTTTGAGCTATTTTTGCGCAAAACCGGAAATATTTTTTGAGCATATTGTTGCGCATGAACCAAAATTTTAGTTTTGCGCAAAACCGCAAGTTTTACGCAAAATTTAACTTTTTTGGCAAATTTTCAAAAATTGATATTCTAAGCTTAGAATTAAACAACTGAAGATTTATTCCATACATAAAAAAATATTAACATACCAGTATGATAACGATTATACTACACTCAATTGGTTGCTTCCAATAACAAAAAGTTTAAATTAAGGGACCAAAATTAATAAAATAGAAATTAGAGAGTGTGAAACTTGGCAATATTTTAATCCTATTAAATAATTTCAAGTGACCCTTAAAAGCTTTGCCTAATCAAGTATGAATTATATTCTTAAATTCTTTTAATCAAATTTCTGAAATCTTTTTTATCTCATATAAAATAATGCAAGAAAGTAACCAATGCCTGAAGAATACACTTTTAGGAAATATGCATGTCCAAAACTAAAATTATCGAGACTTTTACTGGACAATCTGTTTCGGATTTTGGTACGAAATTGCAGAATTGCGCAAAACTTGAGTTTCGCAAAAGAGGAGTAGGGCAATTTTGCGCGAAATGACTTTTGCGAATGAATGCGCAAATTATTGTTTTTTTCGTGCAAAACTGATGCGCAAAGAAAGAAAAATTTTTCGTTGCGTTCCGCAAAAATTGCGCAAAAGTTTTGCGAATGGAAACCCTACACTGAACACAGGGTTTGGAATGATCTCTGTACTTTAGGCAATTGCTTCAAGGGTATTAAATGAATTTGAAGGATCACTTGAAACTACGCTTACAGTCCCTGTGAGTGTTGATTTCAAATAGTCCAATGAACTAGAAAAACAGTTAAATACCCATTTGACTTTTTAAGTTAATGTTTATGAAAACATAATATTTATCTTAAAACCTTTGTAAGCTGATGAGGACTATGTGATTTTACAATTTTAGGATCAAAATAATACAGTCATGGAAGTTTATAGCTATTTTGACTCCAGTGGACCCCACCTGAGGAATTTCATTTTCACTGGTGGGGTTTGAAAATGACGATTTACTATTTAAAACTTTACGCAGGGTGATTTACATTCCACTGGAGGAATTCAAATATCTGGAGTGAATTAGACATATTTACAGCAAATAGATTGTCAAGTACAATAGATGGCAACAGAAAAATCGACCAACTGCGCACAACGTTATGTTTCAAATGAAAAAAGAAAGACGACATGTCCTCTAATTAGTTGGTATGATTTCAAAGATTCGGTGGAGATAAATGTCGTCTTTGTAGGAATACGTAAAAAAATAGTTACAACTCAAAATTAGATAGAGTATTTTTACTGTTGTTTGGTGGCAAATTGTTTTCCCACTGTATATCTATGTAAGCTAAATAGTCTGAGGGAGGGGGGGGGGCGTCCAGGCCCCAGCCCTCTAAGTAGCATTAAAGTAAATATTTCTAGGGTTATCATAGGTTTACTGTTCAATTTCTAAAGCCAGCTATTTTTTTTTAATTTAGACTTCTAACTTTTGAAACACTCATACTTTATAAGAATTTTACAAAAAATCATTTGGATTACCTTGTTTTAAAAGTGACAAAGTTTTGGTGGGTTAAACAATGACTGAAGTATACATTTATATCATCATATATAACAACAACAAAAACAATAATAAAATACAAAAATGTTTTTAACTATTAATTAAAACATAAATTGGCCTTTTTGTATCATGTGATGACCTTGTTTGTTTATTAAAACATTTAGATGCCTTTTCCTTGAAGGGGAGATTTCTGGAAGTTTCGAAAAAGTGCTCAAATTTGGATTAAAATCAGACTTAGCAAAATAAAGAGCACACACTCTTCTATCTCCGATTTCATTAGTGTCGTCAATTTTCAAAGAATTCAGCCACAATTCCTGCTTATTTTTGTTATTTGGAAATTTAAAACTGGTTGTCCCAGGGGGTGGACGGCATCCAGGCTCAAAACAAGTTGTTCGCCTGCTCCCTAAATAAAAAATATAATCAATATAGTTAAAAAAATATCATTTAATTCATAATAATGTAATGCTGACCTAGTATATGTTCATAGTATACCATTAAAGTACCCCCCCCACACCTTGATGGATTAAAAAATTTTATTTTTAAATCTGTCTTTTTTATCAAAACAAATTAAATATAATATACATGTTATCTCACAAACACTTTGCAGATACAAAATTTTGGCTGCAACAGATAACTTACATAAAATGTACGAAAATTTGTGAATTTTTTTGTCATTTATGAACAAATGAATAAATGTAAAAAATCTAAATTTGAAAAATCTGGGAAATTGATTTTTAAGCTCATGATCCATAATTAAAGAAGTGCTTGTAATATAAAAAGAATGAACATTTAATTAAAATTGTTGCCTCAGTACCCAATACCCCTACTCCAAATTTTTGTTTGGGTCACCCTGTTTATAATATATATATATCTACATAAACTTTCCAATAATTTCATAATTAAAGAATTTTTGAAAATTTCTATATATTTCTTACGTGTTCCCAAAAATAGTAAAATACGACATTTGAGAAAAAAATAAATATCCTTAGAAGACGACATTTCATTAGAAAAATTACCGTTTCTTGTTGCCTGTATTTCCCAAGGATCTTGGTGTTTATCATTAACATGAAATATGTTTTAATGTTATACTAATTCGAATTACAATGTTAAAGGGTTATGTACAAAATCAGTTTCAACCCCACATTATTCAGTCTATAGAACGTTAAATGAAAAAGTGTAAAAATAGAAACAAAGAACATATAAAATTGCACTAATTTCACTAAAAGATAAGCACTTTAGTCTAAAAATGTCACTTTTATTTATAGTTTCGTCAGACAGAAAATTTGAGTTGACACTTATGACGTTTAAACAGCTGTATTGAAAGTGTACGTATTCTGTGTTGCCATCTATTGTACTTGACAACCTATTTGATTTACAGGGGGTTTATAATGAAAATGAAATCCCTCAGCTGGTTTCCAGTAGAATCAAAATCTTACTACAATATTCTTTGATTTGAATTAATATATTTATCGTATATAATTCAATTGGTGTTCAAGGTTACAAAAACCTCAACAGAAAACTAGTATATTTTGAAACCACAAGTAAATTACAAGCTACCTAGTTTTTCCTCCATAAGGAAAAATATAAACAAAATAAATAAACAATTTGTGAATAAAATTTTTTTACTGGACCTGTTCCATATATGATCCTCCATGTGCCTAAACAGAATTGGTATTAAATTCAACACAATGATTTAAATACTATTCATTTCAGACAATGGCAGATGGAGTTGGCAAAGTGTTTTAAATGTTAAAAATTTTTAGGTTATCAGGAGATTTTATGAAAGTCTGAGATGTATATTATTTAAAATTGTAATTTATTAAAACTTAGTTTTTTTTTCGAGTAGAAGATAAAAGATAATAAACTCAAAGGATTTTTCGTAAATTGCTTCTTAAAGATTTTGCTTCCATCAGACTTAAATCTTCTAATTTAAAAAGGCAGTTTAACCTACTGGTATTTTATAATCTTATGGTAAACTAATGAGCCTTTTTACTGGTACTTGTCTTACTTTTCAAAGATATATATGACGGGAGAAAAACCTGATTTGTCGTTAAGAATTCCAGCAGAAAGGTATAATAACTTTTCAGAGACACTTTTTAAATGTCTTTTAATTTACAACAACTTAATTAAATCGAAAATGATCATACTTCCATGACAACTAGGGCTGGGCATGTTCCGACTTTTTAGAAATTGTTCCGTTTAGTTCTAGAACGAGGGCCTTTAGCTAAATCATTCCGTTCTTGTTCCTTTTTTGTATTGTTCCTTTGCGTTCCGTTCCGCCCGTTCCGTTCCGTTCTTGGCGTTCTTATTTAAAGAATGGTTCCATCCCTCTTGTTCCGTTCTTAATCAAAGAACGTTTCCATCCCCCCGTTCCGTTCTTAGTATAGAACGATTACTAAAACCGGGTTACAATTACGGGGTGTACAATTTGTAGATTTTTGAAAAATATTTAATTTTCATAATCAATATTTCAATAATATTAAAATGAAGTAGAAAAAAAATTATACCATCTTTACTTTCCTATATTAATATTGTGTCTAATGTCATTTACAATAATTCTATCTTTCAATTTCATTTCACTACTTACAGAGAAAATCTGAACTGGAAACACATTCCTGATTTTAAATGCTTTCCCAACTTAGAATGTGTTCTTGAAAATAAGAGAGCGTTAACGATTTTAACTGTTCTTTTCAAGCAATTCCCGTTCCGTTCCGTTCTGTTCTATTACTAATTGTTCCAAAATTTTTAAGAACGCGTTTCAAGCGTTCGTTTTTTTGGAACAATGGGATCGTTCTTGATCGTTCCGTTCGTTCTCGGGAAAGAACAATCGTTCCACCAGGAAAACGCCCAGCCCTAATGACAACAAGTATATGATAAAATATAAAAACTTTTGATTCTCATTCAAAACAGCTCCTGGATTCAAACTCCTCAATAAATCACGGGGATTTCTGGGGAAAATAGAGAAAACGCATCAAACCCTCAAATGTTTTAAAAAAGTTTGTTGAGTTGAAAGGTGGGGAGTAGTTAGATCTTGATATATGTTGTGAGAACTACGGCAGCAACCTCCAAGGGACAAAGCAAAGGGGTATATATTATCCAAATCAACAGTCCCGGTTAAATGGATTCTCAAGCTTTCATAACATTCAAGCATTCACAGAATATCCTTCCTATCCTCTATTTTACCCAAAAGTCAATAATAAATGGTATTCAATTTTGTTCGTTCCTGAAAAATACATTTAATTAACAAACTTTTACAGAGTATAAATGTAATGTTTTTATTATAATGGGGGTAAAGAGTTATAGTCCGGTTATTGAACAGTACTAAAACAACTTTTTGTCTTCTGAAATAAAATGGCAATTGATTTCAAATTAAAATCACTATTTTTTAAGTGTTATTTTTTAAACTTTTTTGAAGCGAGGGTACTACATGTGAAAATTGTTTATACTGTTCATCGGAGGCAATGTTTAGTTTGGCTGCCGGAGAAAATCTTAGTCAAAGACGACTTTACAACAGAGTAACTTATTGTTTAAGGTTGACAAAGTTATATTTTGAAAAAGACAATTTTAAAATAATTTTAAAACTAATTAAAGATATCTACAATAAACTAATAGATACTACAATTTAATTTATTTTTTGAAAAAATTTTTGATTCCATGATTCTAGGGTTGTTAATCGTTTTTTGTTTCCTTTTCAAAAACAATTGTTTCGTTTTTGGAAAACAAAATCGTTTTTAAAAACGACCCACTCGTTTTGAACTTTAAAAAAATTTATTGACAATTATGGTAACGATCGTTAACGAAGGGTTGTTGTTAACAATCGTTAACAAAGGGTTTTTGTTAACGATTGTTAACAAAGGGTTGCCATCCCTTCGTTAACGATCTTTAACGAAACAACACACTTTATAAAAATGGTCGTTTTTTGAAAAAAAATACATGCAACTTTATTGAATGTAGTTTAACAGTAGTGGGGGAGTTAAAACTTCTTGATATTTTCTTAAAAACTACTCAATGATAAGTACAGATTCCCTTCAGGTTGGTTTCCTCTCTTCGTTAACAATCGTCAATGAAGGGGTCGTTGTTAATGAAGGGTCATCGTTAACAATCAATAATGAAGGTTGTCGTTAACGAAGGGTTGTCATTAATAATCGTTAACAAAACGACAAATTTTATAAAAACGATCGTTTTGTAAAACAAGCGTTTTGAAAAATGATCGTTTTAAAAACGACCATTTTTAGAAAACAAACTTTTAAAAAAGTGATCGTTTTTCAAAAAATGAAAACGTTAACATCCCTTTCCATGACAAAAAGAATGAAATAATGTCTTTGCAAAGGCATCATATGATTGCAATGAATTTTTTAATAATAATCGGCTTTTTCTCAGCTCAGAAAAATAAGACTAATAACAATGAATAGCTAAATAGACTATTTAGTTTACCCTCAAATTACGGTGAATGGTCCCTTTAATGTTGGTGGCATATTACAGTGAGAGTAAAAATGCTGCTAAATCTAATTAAAGAGAAAATATATAAAATAAAGTTATTAGTAGTTACCAACTCAACTAAAAACTTAGATACAATATGCCTTAAGGACCAATCACAGATCAATACGACTCAAGGTTTTGTCAATAAGGATCAGTTTTCCAATGATTCAAACTTCTTGTGAACCCACTTCAGTATGACATGTTTCAAAAGTATTGGTCTGAGGCTGTTGAAATTTTCTGACTTTTCCAATAGGTCTAAAACCAGCTTTGGATAGAGATAAAACAATGAAAAAAAAATTAATTTCACAATATCTTCCAAATATAGAGCATCAAGTACTGGATAATATCTATAGTTCCTTGTAGCTGATAATCAATTCCTATTTATAGTAATATAGAGAAATTGTTTATCGCTCCCCACCTTTTGGAATCTGAAAGATTTTAGGCTCCATGAATTTTCCCATGAAATTAGAATAAGGTAAACTGAATCTCGATATTTTATAATTTCAAATGTTGTTATTTTATTCTGCCTGCAAAGATAGGTTTCATTTCTATTGATAAACATGTGGGAGATATCCAGACATTTCTGTTTTTACCTAAACAAAGTAACAGAAGATATCAATAAATAATTTTGTTCGTAATTTCGAGTACACCGAGAAAATGTTGAAAAAACTAACTTTTTGCTCGATATAACAAAAACAATGATCTATTCTCTATATGTATCAGCTTTTGCTTCCTGTATAAAAATAGGATGCTTCTCATAAAAAGGCCAAAATATCTAATAAATCGGCCCCTGTAAAATTTAGGTAATTATTGTAGATTAACATTTTTTTCTAGATATGTAAATCACGGGCAGCCGTCGTAAATTTGAATTTCCGAGCTAGGTCAACCTTTTCGGTCCCAGTTTGTACTGTATCGCCCAGCTATTGGGTAAATAAAGCAGACACTCAATAGGACTAGCTGGTGCTACAAGGTTGACGCAGTCCTATTGAATTTACATTTTCTAAAGGGTCAGCGGTGCGTGAAATATCTTCAAAATTCTTTTGGGTCTTTAATTATTTTTGGTTTTTGGCATACATCTGATCTCAAAACATTGTAAATAACCTTGTATTGTATAAAATAATTCTGATTTTAGAAATTGTAAACAGCCTTAAACTATTTAAAACAACTCTGCGTTGAAATATCGTCCCTAATATTTCAGAAGCTTCATATGTTTAAAATAACTCTGATTTTAATGAAATGTTGTCCCTCCAATTATAGAGTGGTATGTCCGATTCAGTAACTTAAAATTTTTGTATATGATCAAGCATGAATGAGATATATTGTTTTTAGCTTTGAAAATTATTTTTTTTTTCATTGTGGTTTCTATATAAAAGTAAATTGTGGAATTATGCTTCACAAACAATGAAGGAAAATGTGAAAATTGAACATATTTCGAGCTACGATATTTCCCACAGGATTGTTCATATAAAGGGTTAAAGGGTACCTTATTAATCGGAAGGTGACATAACAATGACAGTCCCTTTAAGATATTGTATAACTAACCTTCAATTGTTTTAACTAAATTTGAGTTTGCTTCAACCAGTAGTCCGGTCCAATTGCGTTCCATTTCTTTCATCAAAATAAAAAGGTAAAAAATATATTTAAAAAAAGTGTAATTTTGTTTATTTACCAAATAAGAGTGAATTACTAAGTTTCTCCCCATCAAAGGCCCCAGCTTCAATGAAGAATCCGTTGAACAAAGAACTTAAAGAAAATGGGTCAAACATAATTGTGGTAAAATGACATCCATATTGAAATAGTATTTTCAAAGATCTTTTAATTTTGACCCCCTGATTTCAATATAAACATTCTATCTTGTTAAATGAGTTTAGACATTGAGTCTTTGCCACAAACTCAAATTTTCTAATCCCCTAGGATTGTGAAGATAAGGGCCCTTATCTTCACAATCTGCTGGTTATATAAACCATTGATATTTTAAACTTAGATTAATTGAAATATCTAAGATTTACAACAATGGGTTTCAAAGATATATGGATTTAAAAATCAGAGTTTGTGGCAACGTCTCAAATCCTTTGATGAGATTTCAAAATCTATTATCGTTTTTTTGTACACACTTCTACACTTTTGTAGAATCTGACCAATATTAGAAAATATATTATTAAATATTATGCTTAACGGACTTTTACAATTTTAAAATCTTTTAACGTAGTTTGGTACCGGCTATATAAAGTATTGTCAATTGTTTTGGTTCGTTTAAAAAAAACTTTTAAAAAACTGTTTTCTATTTGAATTTGCCTCATTTTTGTTTTCTAATACGAACAAAAACGATTGTTTTAAAAGTTGTTTTTTTATAAAATTTTAAAAATTTTTATAAAATTTAGCATAATGCAAGAAAAGCAAAGGTTTAGAATAAATTTTACATTTACGTTTAATACCTGTATTTTGACCCTAAGCGAAAATGTACCAAAATGATTAACAACACTAGCCATTTACAATTAATGACATTTGTGTCAAAACGTTCCTCTTCTTATTTTTACTTTCTTGTACATTAATGAGATCCATAAAAAAATGTCAATAGCAGCTTAAGAATTATCTATTAATTGAATTACTCAAAATTGCAGTGTATCATGCTCATTTAACTATTTGAAATCAAACCTGGAGTCTAAAAGTCGTATTCCTTTTCCTAATTTCTCATTGTTAAGTATTTAAAGTTTTAAACAAAAACCTGTTATAAATTTTATCCACTTCCAAAGGTTGATTAAACTGGCCGGCCAGTTTGGGAGGATTGTTTGCAAGTCTCAAATTCTAAAAATTTCATAAAAAAATGTTTAAATTATAAAAAAACTAGCTTTGGAAATGGGAACTCAGCAGCCTCAAATTCTAAAAAATTAATTTCAAAACTTATAAATAAACCAGCCTATAGGAACCCAGCAGTTTCAAATTCAAAAAAATTAATTTCAAAATTTATAAATAAACCAGCCTATAGGAACCCAGCAGTCTCAAATTCAAAAAAATTAATTTCAAAACTTATAAATAAACCAGCCTATAGGAACCCAGCAGTCTCAAATTCAAAAAAATTAATTTCAAAATTTATAAATAAACCAGCCTATAGGAACCCAGCAGTTTCAAATTCTAAAAAATTAATTTCAAAACTTATAAATAAACCAGCCTATAGAAACCCAGCAGTCTCAAATTCAAAAAAATTAATTTCAAAATTTATAAATAAACCATCCTATAGGAACCCAGCAGTCTCAAATTCTAAAAAATTAATTTCAAAATTTATAAATAAATCAGCCTATAGGAACCCAGCAGTCTCAAATTCTAAAAAAATCATTAAAACTTATAAATGAACCAGCCTAAACGCTTAATTAAATCTCAAAATAGTGAAATTATGGACAAAAAGTCGCTTAATAAACGATTTTAGTTGCATTTGAAATGATTTTAAATCGTTATTTGTGAAGTAAAAAAAAATTGAGTTCTCATATAGTTCNATCAAAAGCATTGGGGCTGATATGTGATATTTTGTATGATTTCAGCAAAATTATTATTATTATTTTTTTATTATTTTAGGGTTCAGTTAGGTTAGGATTGATTAAATTTGATTTAGGTTAGGTTAAGACAATTTCTGGGCCGAGCACTGCGGCTAAAACAGGCTAGGACAGGCTAGTTTTAGGATAAAAATAAGCGAAAAAGATAAAACAAAAAATCTGACATTTTTTTTAAGTTCAGTTAATGACCTGGATCCGGATTTTTTTTCCTGTGCAGATCTAGGATCCAGATCAGCATCAAAATTAAATGGATCCTATAGCCCTGGCTATCATAGCATATTTGTTTTAGTAGGATTTGAGGCAGTGTTAAGGATCAATTAAATTTTCATGGCAATCCGGATCTGGATCCGAACAAGGAAAAAATTGTTCCGGATCCCAGTCACTTAATGATTTTTTACTAAAGCAGAATTTCTAAGTTTTTGTTTTATTTTTTTCGCTTATTTTCATGCTAAAACTTGATGACCCATTAAGAAATCAGGAAATTTTTATAATCTCTTTTTTCAATAGTTCAGATTTGGGTTTTAGGAGTAAACAAGTTTTTTTTACCCCTTAGATCCGGTCCTTGGATCCACATATTTTTGCGAATCCGGATCCAGATCCAGGAAGCCAAAATCTTGTGGATCCAACGGATCCTAAGCACTGATGATAACATTGGTAATAAAGCCCCAGGATTTATTTTTCCTTTTTATCCTGACAAGTTATAAGGACACTTAAAAATGGAACCGAGATTTTATCACAAACTCTGATTTTCTAAACCCTATATTTTTGCAATCCCATGTTGAAGACTTAAGATATTTCACACAATGAATTCTGTTAGATCAATAATTCTAAGCCTGAGATGTCAAAGGTTTCATCCTTAGCTTGCAAAGATATAGGATTTAGATAATTTAGAACATTTAAAGAGTTAAATATAAACAATTTTTTTTTGAAAAGAGTTAAATATGTTGTTTGCTTGAAGCTAAGATTAGATCAAGCCAAGCTGTTTCTATTTATAGACCAAGCGACACTATCCCTTATTTCAGGGTAGCATAGGGCCAGGGGTATTGACCCACCGAGTCAGGGTGCTAGGGATAGAACCCTGGCGGGGGAATGGCGGGTCTAACAAATGCTATCAGAGTCAGTTCGCTACGAACCATTTCGATGTGAGGTGGAAGACTAATCTGATCATTCTTCAACCAAATACTGCCTCTTATTTGCTTATCGATTGTATAGTATTTTTCTCTCATAAATGTTTGTATAAAGTAAAATAAATTGTAAACCGTCCCTCGGAATATTATTCAAATGAGTAGTTGCTTAGAAATTTTATCATATTTTAGACTATAACCCCCCTGGAAAGATAACGGAATCCCTCCAGTGGAATGTAAATCACTCTGCGTAAAGTTTTAAATTGTAAAAAAGCATTTTTTCAAACCCCTCCAGTGAAAATAAAATCCCTCCGGTGGTCTCCAGTAGAATCGAAATCTTCCTACGAACTTCTTTGAGTCGTTTTTACTTGTTAAAAATAAACAAGATTTTTTTAATATATGAGATCTTTGAATTAAAAAGATTTTTTATTTGAAAAAAAGCAATTTCGTTAAAATGAGCGTTTTTTGAGCTAAAAATAAGCGATTTTTTGTTGAAAATAAACGATTTTGTGTCGCTTATTTGGCAGTCACCAACTTCTTCTGCAATATAAGCGATTTTTTTGTTGAAACAAAACAATTTTTAAAAAAATAAGCGATTTAGGTTAAGCGATTTTTTGTCTCCTAATCGAGTGCCATCCAACTTTTTCACCCGATTTGGCGACTTTTTATCGCTATAGTAACGACTTTTTAATTTAGAGTGAATAGGAACCCACCAGTCTCAAGTTCTTAACATATTCATTAAAAAACTTGTGAATGAACCTAGGAACCCACCAGTCTCAAATTCTAAAAGAATCATCATAAAACAGAAAAAAAAACTTTGAAGTGAACTAGCTTGAAAATGAACCAAGTAGTTTAAAATTCTAAAAAAAAATAAAAATTGAAAAAATTTTTTTTGATGGGGCGGAAAAAAGAATTTACTTATGATAAAAAATAACTGATAGATGGAGACCTGTGAAATGAAAAGTATACACCCAAAGTCTGAAAAATGAGGGACCAAAATCAATGCACCATTAAAAGTTTAATAACTTTCAATTTCACAGGTCTGTACATATTAGTAATTTTATCTCCAGAAAGGTTTTTTCCCGCTATCATTATGAAAAAAAGTTTTGCACTTGCCAAAGAAGTTGGGACAATAGCGGCTTGGTTTGTTAATCATTTTTGAAAACGATTGTTTTTTGTTTTGTTTTTCAATCGTTTTCAGAAATGATTGTTTCATTTTCGGAAAAAAACAATTGATTTTAAAAACAACTCACTTGTTTTGAAATGAATAACGATCAGTTTTGAAAACAATCGTTTTTATACAAAACAATTTGCGACCGTTTTTTATACGATTGTTTTTTAAAAAACTATTGCTTTTGAAAAAACGATTGTTTTGAAAAAAAATATTGACAATTATATTAACGATCATTAATGAAGGGTTGTCATTAATGATCGCTAACAAAAGGTTGTCGTTAACAATCATTAACAAAAAGACGAACAACGTTATAAAATCAGACGTTTTTGGAAAAACAATCGCTTTTGAAAAAAATGACATGCAATTTTATTGAATTAAGTTGTCTGTCTGACATGAAGTTATACAGTTGTGGGTGAGTTAAAACTTCTTGATATTTTCTTTAAAAACTACTCAATGATATGTACAGATGCCCTTTATGTCGGGTTCCTCTCTTTCCTCTCGATATTTAACGAAGGTTTATTGTTAACAATCGTTAAGGAAACAAAGAAAAGGGTAGTATATGAAAACAGGATTTCACTACTTGGGGATGCCGACTAGAGAGGGAGTGGGGGGCGGGTTGACTCCGGGGAATCAGCTGATTTGGAGAGGGGGGGAGGATGACTCCGAGAATACACTACACGGAGGTAGTCAAACTTGGGAAAACAACTAATATGGACATGAAGATGATGATGGAAATGGGGGACCAGGAAATAGTACAGTGGTTGCAGAATAAAGGATTATTAAAACGAAATATACAGTGCATAGTTTGTGGAAGTTTCCTGACACAGCTATCAACGACAGAGACAATTGATGGGTTGGAGGTGTCTTAATTATGGTTGTGACAAGAGGAACCATAATGTTAGTGTGAGAATCCAGTCTTTTTTCTCTGGTTCTAAACTTACTTTGAAGCAACAAGTACTGCTGGTACTGTTTTGGAGTGAAACCATTAGCAACCAAAAGGCCTCCAGGCTCCTCAAAATAAACCAGAAAACTTCTTCCAAAAGTTTAGAAATCTGACCAGCCAGCATTTTCAAATGCATCCTATCCAACTTGGAGGTCCTGGTATCATAGTTCAGATAGATGAGTCTGTGTTTAGCACCAAGGCTAAATATCACAGAGAAGCAGCACTTCATCAGAAACCTTTGTGAGTGTTTGGAGCTGTGGATGAGGATGGGATGGGTTATATGGAAATAGTCGAGGATAGAACTAGAGTGACCCTGGAGGCTGTCATCCTCTATCGGATTAGAGCAGGATCAGTTATTCATAGTGATTGTTGGGCATCTTATAATCATATTTCCACGATTGCTAACAAAAAATTTACCCATGGAACTGTGAATCATAGCAACAAAGATTTCCCTTTTAAGGGCCCAATAACAGGGGTACATACAAAGCAGATGGAGGGCTACTGGTCAAAACACAAAAGACCTCTTAAGGCAATGTGTGGAGCTCCAAGAAATCTTCTACAATTCTACATTGATGAATTCATCTTCAAAGAAAGAATTCCATCTGGAGTTAACAAGTTCCAGGCAGTCTGTGATTTAATCAAAGATACACATGTAACATTAACATTTTTGATTTATATTTAAAGTATATAGAGAGAAGGAGAGAGAAACAGAAAAAAAGATAGACAGAGAGGTAGAGAGTTAACCAATTGTAAATATGTCAACGTTATAGATAGATTGAAAGATCGTGCATATGTGTATTCTGTAACCTCTATCAGCTGATCTCCCCCCACCCCCTCCTGTAGTCAGAAGCTCTAACCCTGCTGCAAATCCTGTATTCATATACTACCCTTTTACCAAAAATAATAGTATGCATGTGTTCAGTGTTTAATTTTTTTAACTTTAGGGGCAGAGAAGAAAAGATCAACAAATGCTTTTGCATAATATCCTGGAACTGAATTCACATGAAATTCAAAACATTTTTGTTCTTGTCGATATCTCTAAAAGATATTATTGAAAATGTGTAAGATTTCAATCTTACTTTCAATTTGTGTTAGTTTGCCATGATATATAGGAGAGTAGGAACATATTTGTAAAGGAAATCAGTTTTGCCTCAGACTCTAATTTTTCAATTTCTATATCTTTGCAGCCCGATGTCACAGACCTTCAATATTCTAAATTATGAATTCTGTTAGATAAAATAGTTGAAATATCAAAGGTTTGAAACATCAGATTGCAAAGTTAAAGGGATTCAAAAATCTGAGTTTATGGCAAAGACTTAGATGCTTTAAAAGTTTTTAAAAACGCTTACTTTTCCCCCTTTTGTTCCAGTTTTGAATAAAAAATGATGTTTGACATATTCGACCAGTCTCTGGTCATCCTGCTCCAGGCTAAACAGATCTAAATTCCCATCATAATTAACTGTGTCAGGAACCTAAAATAAACAGGTATTTACCTAGTCTAGATTATGTAACCCCCCCTGTAACACCCCCCCCCCCCCAGCCCCTGTAGAGTGTTATGGTAAAACCAGCTTAGGTACGAAATTGTGTCATTTAAAATGACTTTCACCAATATGCCATTTTTTGTCTTTTCCTGCCATTTTCAGCAACACTTTTGTAATTAAAAAAAATTTAATGTTATATGTTACATGTTAAGTTATAAGTTCTGTGCTATGTGTAGGGATGTTAACGTTTTCATTTTTTTGAAAAACGATAGTTTTTTTTTCGTTTTCCTATCGTTTTAAAAACAATCGTTTTTTAAAAAAGTTTTTAAAACGATTGTTTTCAAAATGATCGAAAAACGAAACAAAAAAACTGTAGGAAAACAAAAAAAAGGATTGTTTAACGATCGTTTCCAAAACGATTAACAACCCTAGCTATGTATTGGGTTGTAAATTCAATTTTTAAATCATAGTTTTACCTGAATAAATTTTAGATCCAAATCAGTATTGACCAACCACTGAAAATATTTTTTTTTCGAAATCATAAATACCAAAACAAAATTATTAAAACTAAAAAATGACTTACAAAAGACAAGCAAAATAAAATAATTAAAAACAATGCTGGCATTAAGAAGCGTCTTTGAAAAACAGCCATTATCATCTGAAATAAGGATATAAGTACAGTATTAGAAGAAAAAGAAGAAGAAGAAGAAGAAGAGGAAGAAGAAGAAGAAGAAGAAGAAGAAGAAGAAGAAGAAGAAAAAGAAGAAGAAGAAGAAGAAGAAGAAGAAGAAGAAGAAGAAGAAGAAAAAGAACAATAACAAGAACAAGAACAAGAACAAGAACAAGAACAACAAGAACAAGAAGGACAAGAATAACAAGAAGATGTAGGCCCAGACGAACTGAAATATAAACAGTTGTGCAGCTATTTATATAGTCCAGAACATCTGGCAACGTAATGTTGACTACTGCTCAGTTGCATTTACTCATTTTTCTTTAAAAAAATGTTAAAAAGAAAAAATCTTTAGCTTAAAATATAAAATTTTTGAAAAATGTTTAACAATTATGGGTATGGGATATCTATTTAAATTTATTGCAAAAATATCAGAATATTAAATGCCAAATGATCAAAAATCTTTAAATGATCCAAAAAATGTATGCTAAACAGTTAGGACAAATATTTTTTTCAATAATATCATATAATTTTATAATAAAGTTAATTTTAACGTTTAAGATATTCTTAAACATATTTTTATGAGAAAACGTCTGAAAAATGCAAGGTCTCTCTTTCACGCAATCTATTTTTTCTTCTTTCTCTTCTATTTTCTTCCTTTCTTCTCTTCTCTTTTCTTCGTTTTTTTCATCTATTTTTTCTCTCTTTTTTCTTATCTTTTCTTTTCTTCTTTTTTTCTTTTATTTTTCTTCTCTTTTTTCTTATCTTTTCTTTTCTTCTCTTCTTTACTCTTCTGTTCCCTCTTTTCTTCCCTTCCCTTATCTTTTATCGTCTCCTCTTTGTTTTCTCTATTTTGTTTTGAGATGAACAATTCAGTATGCCCCGTTGTTATGATTTTTCTCTGATTTGTTTTCATTTCTAGCTTTAGACCAGAGATAAGATAGTTACAGAGATCGATTAACACTTATAATGTGCGATATTTTCCACAGCATGTTCTATTGTGTACAAGTACTGTACACAACCTATCAGGAGACATCTGTATTCAGGAATATTTAAGGATCCTTTAAATTGGAAATGCAAAATCTTTAAAAATGGATGATATTCATCAACGTTATGTGTTTAAAATAGGAGTATTTCTGTAAAAGGTGTAAAACTTAACCCTTGAATGCAACGATTGGCCGTCAGATGTCAGCCAAAAAACCGTAGCATGGCGTGCCTGGGCACTATAGGCCTGCTCAGCCTATCCAGGCAGAGTGTATGAACAGTCTTTGTGTAGTCGGCGTTGTTGACCTAATTCAAACGTACTGCGTTTGTACTGCATAATTAGGCATTTGATCATTTGGCATTTGATGTTTAGATATTTTTGCATTTTATTGATTGCATTGTATTGACTTGGGACCACTGCAGAAAAACTAATTTCACTTTTTATTCACTTAAACTGTTAGGAATCTTGAGCATCTCCAATTGTAGTTGCCATTCTAGTGTTGTTAGTAGTAGTTATGGCTTCATCTGCTACAGGGCAAAAGTTGATGTAGGAAAAGTAAATGTTAGTAGATGATCAGTTGATCAGTTGTTGTTATGGGATAAATTGTTGTTATGAGACAAATTGTTGCTTTTGGACTTTTGGTTTTGTGGGATTAGTTGTTGTTGGATTTGTAGTCGTTGTTGGAAAATTTGTTGTTATACTTAAATTAAATCCTGTACAAATTATTAACTTATTGGAAGAATAATAAAAAATAATAATAAAAAAACTTATTAAAAATGTTACAAAAAGTTATCTAAACGTTTATAAGTATGCCAATTTTGCTAAGTGATCAAAACATCAAAATGTTGTTAACAAGTCATTTTAAATGAAATAACAAATTTTAAAATTTCTATTCTTCTTTGTTGTTGTTGTTGTTGTAGTAGCTTCAGTTGTTGCGGCAGTTACAGTTGAGCTTGATCTGATTTTTAATTGATTTGTTAAAAAAAGAAAAAAATGCTATAAAATTTATTTCTCGTTGTTTGTGTTAAAAAAATATTTAGGATTTGTCTTACTTTATTTGAAATTTTTTAACCGCAAACATGAACCCTGAAAAAATTTTCATTGTGGTTTGTAAACTGACGCTAATGATGCTTATTTACTTACATTGTAAGTAACATAACAAAACACAAATGAACTTAAAATTTGCCACAAATTATAATTACTTATTAATAAATTGTAATCTTTGTAATAGTGGTTTGCCTTGCCGAATTTTAATTCATTTTATGAAGTGTCTCAAAACATGTCTATTTTTTTAAGCTCGTCAAATTAGGGATGTTAATGTTTTCATTTTTTTGAAAAAAGATTGTTTCATTATGAAAAAGATGACAAAAAATCGAAACGAAACAATAATTTATAAAAACGATAGTTTTTTTTAAAAAGTTCGTTTTTTAAAAATAGTCGTTTTTAAAACGATCGTTTTTAAAAATTATCGTTGTTAAAAACGATCGTTTTTCAAAACGATCGTTTTTATAAAACTCGTCGTTTCGTTAAAAATCGTTAACGACGACCATTTTTAACGATCGTTAACGACGACCCTTCCTAAATGATTGTTAATGACGACCCTTTGTTAATGATCGTTAACGACGACCCTTAGTTAACGATTTTTAACAAAGAGAGAAAACCGACCTGAAAGGCATCTGTATTTATCATTGAGTAGTTTTTAAAAAAATATCAAGAAGTTTTAGCTCCCCCACAACTGTTTAACTTCATGTATAATGACATTCAATAAAGTTGCATGTAATTTTTTTTTTCAAAAAAGATCATTTTTCCAAAAACGACCGTTTTTATTAAATTTTGTCTTTTCGTTAATGATCGTTAACAACAACACATGTTAACGATCGTCGATATAATTGTCAATGTTTTTCAAAAACAATCATTTTCTCAAAAGCGATCGTTTTAAAAAAAACATTCATATTAAAAAACGGTCTCAAATCGTTTTTATAAAAACGATCGTTTTCAAAACCAATCGTTATTCGTTTGCTAAAAGTTCGAAATGAGTGGGTCGTTTTTAAAAATGATAGTTTTTTCCGAAAACGAAACTATCGTTTTGAAAACGAATGAAAAACGAAACAAAAAATGATTCACAACCCCATGTCAAAAACACGATGATAATTCATCCTCCATTTAAAGAAGGCCATGCTCAATTCCCAATGGTAACATGTATTCCTTTATCTGATTGATGATATAAAAATAGCAGCGTTTTCCTATCTTCTAAATGTATGCTGGACATGCCACTCCATAAATGAAAGGTGACTTGAAATTATGTCTCTAGTCCCTTTAAGACACACCCTTGAGACGATAGTAAAATGCTATAAACTTTCATTCACAAATTTTAAAACCGTTAAAAATAATAATATTACAACATCTTTATATTGCATATTCTTCTACACATTCTCTAATAGGTTAACAATGCAACAGCAACATGCAGGGTGAATAAAAAAGGGATTAACAACACCATTTTTTTTGCACGGTTCATGTTTTAGGATGAAATAAACTAAAGTAGGAATGTAATTATCACGTAAAAATCTTTTCATACTTACTTTTAGAATAAATATTAAATCTTTCTTAGAAATGAAAAGAATAAATAGTTTTGATTGCCAGTTGTAAAAAAAAGTGTAACAAAAAAAGTTTTCAAATAAACGTTTCGATGAATCGTAACGTAAGAAAAGGTGCATTTTTGTAAAATTTCTAAACATAATTAAAAGAGTTTATATTGGAAAAGTTAAGATAAAACGTAAAGTTAACAAAAAATATTCTTTGCACTGAAATGCATTGTTGATGAACACTTTATTAACGAAAGCTAAAATCTAGAAAAATAATCTCTAGTTTGTAGGATTTGAATCCTAGCATCAAAATGCAGATTTTTTTTTCAATAAACTAACAATAGACCTAAAACATAAACATAAAAACCAAATTTTCATTTGTTGAAGGGCAGTAAAGGACCTGTAATATTTTATAATCCCATAAATCTTGATCAAGTTGATGGCCCGTAAACTAGCGCACATTTTTTTATGGCTTTTAAGAGAAGTTTGCCATGATATTTTTTAAATAAAAACTGATTCAATATAGGGCAGCTATTATTAAAGAAAAATATTTGTTTATTGTCCAACTGTTTTACAAAATCCAAGGCTAGACGATCCTAGTCCTGGACTAATTATACTAATTATACTAATTTATACTAATATATACTAATTTTCAGTAAAACAAGTGACATTTTTAAACAGAAAATAAAAAGTATAATAAATAATGGATTATTTAAAAAAAAATTATTCTAAAAATTTCTGAGAGGTTTTTAAACAAAGAAATTAAAATGGCAAACAATTGTTCAGTTAAGTTCTTGCTTTCATTATTTGTGAGATTATGGTTCTTCAGCTATATTGTTTTTTAAGAAACAATTTAGGAGATCCTAACTCTATATATCTATTTATTATAATTTACTATTTTAAAATGCTATGCCTACTGTATAGCTAGTTATTTTTAACATTTTGTTTTTATACAAAATACTGCGTTAATGAGAACCAGATATTTTTAACATAAAACCTTTTGCTCTCTGAGTATTCTAACCATAGAGTAATAAAACAGAGACGTAAAGCTTACCAAAGATGTACACGACTGAACTCTCTATTAAATAATTAATAGAGTGGTCAGTTTTTAATGTATCTATAGTATTTCTCTGGGGTGGTAAAACGTAGATAATTGAAAATTAGTATTGATAATTAAATAATTAGCAAATTTAGATTGAACATTAGACACTTAATATGGATTGTAAACACAGGATTGTATACTGCAGTACATTCTAGTTCAGTTGTTGTTTGTTTATTTTAATAAAAGTATGACCAAATTTTGCATCGTGAAAGAGAGCACAAACAATTCTTCTTGTAAAAATGTGAGTTTTTTCAAAATACCAAATTTGTGCATGGCTAGACCTTTTAAGGTTGGGAGACTGAGACTCCACCATAT